ATCATCTGAGTATTGTGCGTGTGTTTGCGTAGGTGTGTGTATGTGTGCGTGCGGAACGAGAGGAAGGACTACACCCCCCTCCACCCTCCAACACACACATACACACGAATCCTCCGCCACAGACATCACCATCCCCCCACCCACCACTGCATTGTGCGCCTGCTGCTATTGACGGAGTGTCAGAGCTGAGGGGAGATGTCTTAATCAACTTGGACACACTGGGCATTGATTTGACAAGCTGCTGTAATGACCTTCTTGTTTTCGTAAAGGATCACTGTTTATCTGGGCCACAACTGATGTGCTGAGCATGCCTCATTGTCATGGAAACTATTATCACGACTGAAGTGGGATGGGGCTTGGTCTTTGGATGTCTAGTTTTCTCTTTCAGTCTCTCTCTGTCTCTCTCTGTCGCGCACGCAAACACACTGTCTCTGTCACACGCATGCAGACACACATATCGATATTGATATGTCTGAGCTGATCCAGCGCAACCAGATGTGTGTGTGTGTGTTTGTACTCAAATGTAATGTTTAACACTTCCATTCAAAACCATCAGGGGTCAAAGGGAAATGTTATAATTGGTGTCAACATCTTTCACATCAATGTTATGGAAATCATTACAGACTGGATGGATTGACTGAGAAGTCTCAATAATCCCAAGACGGCCATTTCATTTACCTGCCTCCCAGCTCTTTTGGAAAATTATGGAACGTTGTAGCTCATTGATTTACTAAATGACCCATGATGACATATAAAAGTGACAGTTCATTCTTGAAAATGAAAAAGCAAAAATCTATATGGTAATGGAAAAAAGATAAGATAGATTGTTTTTTAAGCTTCAAGAAAGGGTCTGTTTTTGAACTCTGCAATTTTTATATGATCCTCCTCCTTGATCTGATGTCAGGCTTTGCGACATTGATTATTTTTTATATGAGTTGTGATCTTCCATCAACCAGTGCATGTTTGAAGATGAAGAGAAAGATTACCTTTGTTTGCATTCATGCACTAACACATAAACAATGTTGTGCTCCATCAATTGCTTCATGGCCACTGGCACACCCTGCTGCCTTGAGAAGAAGACACTCTGCTGAGTCGATTTGCAGGGATCTCAGGTTCAGGGTGCTGTCAGCTTCTGTCAGGGCAATCAGCAACACTCAGCCTCCCCTGAATAGCCCGCACAGCAGACGGTAAATATTATTGGCATTCTGACACCCTCTTGCTGCGACCAAGTGTGTAAAATTGTTAATAAGGAACATGATGGGGCCACTGCCTGCTGTCGTGAGAATGGAAAAGCTTGCTCTCGTTGGCAATTATCCAAATAACAGGATGAGGCGTCTGAGGACAGGTGATTTAAGTCCTTAGCAGAGTGGTGGAGAGGTTTGTTTTGGCAGGGAGGAAGTGAGGAAAAGTCACAGAGGTCATATGGTAAACATTGTCCTTGTGCTATATCCATCAATAAAACTCCTTATGAAATGTACATGGAGACCCTTGTGTGCATTGTTTGGAAAAATTGCTAAAGACATTGTCCATAGACGAGGCACTTGAGCACTTGAGGGCTATCCTACATTTTGTATGATAGTCATCTCAACAATACTAAAACAGGTAAAGGTTGTTGTTGTGTCAGCTTTAAGTATGACTGAGAACGAGCTGCTTGTTTGCTGAAATCCGCTGCTATTAGTTATTTCTATGCCTCCCCCTGAAAGTCTCAATGTGACACTGTGATAAGGCAAACAGTATTCCTCCCCTTGTATAGAGCACGTAAGTCATTATTTTTAAAGGCATAGTATCTCCAAGTCGCAGAAGGACACGTTGATAGCAGAATAAAGTACACAATCATAAACATTTATGCCAGTGTTTCTCAGTGTATGATTACACTTTTATGGTTCATATTCTGATATGGCTTGTTTTTGCTGCTGCCACCAAAGCAATGAGACAGGCCCAGAGGTGGCATTTCTCCTTTGCTTTATGGGGGGAGAGATGCCTAGAGGAGAGTCCTGCTTGGTTTTCGTTCGGTAAACACACTGCCAAGCTAAATGGCTGATCAATCAATTTCAGTGGGATCGATCTGCATCAGTTCTGCCTGCATGCACACACCCGGAGCCACTTTATTGTAAATCAATCATTTTGAAAACAACTCACAGAGGGGCCCGTCCTCACTAACAAGCCATCAATTCCAGCTGCCTGTGTAGCACCCTTATCAGGCCACAAATCAACAGCCACACAAACATCTGCTCCATTTCCATCGCTTTCTCCCTCTGCCTCGCTCAGTCTTTTACCCCCGCCGATTGTCGTGTTTTGATGGTGTGTCTGGCGAGGAGAAGAGAGGTGAGGCTGCGAGTCTTCACCACACCACTTAAGATAACCCAAGGGTAATAGTGTTTGCACATTTGAGAGAGAAATGAGGACAAATGCCAGGGTGGGTCATACATTCTCCTTCTGACCGGTTGTTTGACGTTGGAGTGTGAAATTGCACACTTCAGCTGAGGAGCGAGGATAGGAGGAGCGGGCAGGGCCCAGAGACTTATGAGATGTCCGCTGATTTTTAGCTATGAAAGAGGAGTGGGTGGATATCTGAGAAATCATCCTGCCTCATCATAACACCTCAGAATTGGTGCTGCTCATGATGTTTGAATGATTCTCAGGAGATATCTCAGTACCCTTGACACAAGCGACACTGTGTTTAATGCTGTGTATCTAGAAGCAGATTATTTCAGTTGGAAAATTGCTGAGTTACAAAAAGGTTAAAAATCCTTTAACTTTGGCACTGCTTAATGACATGCTTATCGCTGTCCAGGCTTTGCTTAGACATGTTAAAGCTCCAACAGGGGGAAAGAGGATTACTTTCTCAATATATCATTTGCCCCTGGAATAAATGTATCTGTAAACCCAATCCACATTAAGATGCTACACATCCCGATGTGATGCACAAACATTCACAACGCTGACATGACAGCGCAGCGAGATACCTGGTGTGATGTCCTCTGCTCATCCACTGTCACCGTCTCCATGGAGATATACGTGCCAATGTGGGCAGAATGTGATTTCGAATGCTATTCCCACCCATCACTGTAGATCCCCATTGATTGACAGTCTGACAGGTGAAAGTGATGGAGCAGCTAATAGCATGTCAGTAAACGTAAATCAAGGCTAATACCAGGCTCAATGGATAAGCGGATTGGCGGTGCGACTTGGGCTGCAGGGTCACCGACCCCTCCACAGGGTGGGGATTGGTACAATACAATATACATTTATCTAAGGCTTCCCCTGGTGAAAGTCAAGGTCAGGCACTGAGTCTATTGCAATTCTACAGTACCTGTCTATAGTATATCACACATTTTGATGTGAATGGACTGATATTTATAAGGGGTTTTGGTGTAGCAGGGTAAATAGTGAGCTATTATCACTGTTAATTCCAGTACTGTAAAAAGTACTCAGATTTTTTTGTTTTGCAAGCCCTGGTTTCTCGTTGCTGACGTACTGCGGTAAGTGTGTCGACTCATTTCCGTTTCCGGTGCTTGTGTGTTGGTAGCGTGTTGTGCTATTCTCGCTAAATACCAGTTACATTTGTTAGATTACAGCGGCCAACTGTCCACTAAACACTTATTCTTACAGTAATTTTGCCTAAGCACTCACAGTTCTTTCCGTCTTTTAGGGACTGCTGTTTAATGTCATAGTTTTTCAAAAGTTTTTGTAGCTAACGCTACAGTACTTTAGCTTAGCCATTAGCGACACTAGCTCAGCAGCTAGCGATGGCTTCTCCTTCTCCCTCTCTGTCTCTCCTACTTTCTCCTGCTCGATGTGTCAGATGTTCAGTTACTCCTCTGCCTCCTTTAACGGTAATGGTACGTGTAATAAGTGTAGTTTATTTTTAGACATGGAGGCGAGGCTCAGTGATTTAGAAGTCCGGCTCCGCACCTTGGTAGATCAGTCTTTAGTTACTGTAGCTAGCCAGTCCCCGGTAGTCGGTGTGGAACAGCCTGAGTTAGCCTGTGGTAGCCGTCCCACCAGCATCCCCTGAGCAGCCAGGAAGGGGTGGCTGGGTGATTGTCCGAAGGAGGAATCGTCGTAAGCATTCAAAGCCCACGGGTCATCACCAACCTGTTCACGTCTCTACAGACAGATTTTCCCCACTCAGCGACACACCCGCTGAGAAACCAACTCTGATCATTGGCAGCTCCATTTGGGAAACGAGAAGTTAGTGAAGCCAGCGGCCATAGTTAATAGTAGTAGTAGTAGCTCTTTTCTGCTCTTTTAGCTCACGCAAACGAGTAAATGCCACTCTAAATATCAGACTGGCTATTTGTCTCATGTCTGGTCTTTTGCTTGTTCACTCTCTCTTTTTCTCTTCCTCTGTTCCTCTGTCAACATCCTCTTTTTTGGTCTCTTTGCAGCCTATGCACTGATATCCATAGTGAGAATAGCGAGCTAGCTTCTTCCAAAGAACTTACATTGTACATGCTATACTTTTTGCTTCTTCTTTCTTCTTATAGTTTGCTTGCTGAGTCCTGTTGATTGTGCAGTAGCTGGCAAGTCAGTGTACCATCAAAATCATTTTGAAGCTGTTATTTTAAGATAAATTACTACATAATGTTGTTTTAATTAGATGATATTAACATGTGAGGAACATTTGCATTCCAGCAATGTTGTAGCAGGTTAGGGCGGTACTAATTTTAACTACCTCACATAATGTTGGGTAGTTTTATTTATAAATCTGCAACATATATAACAAGTTACATATAACATATGTTTTGCAGAGAAAATCTTAATCTGCAAAGTGACTAGAACCTATTGCTGTAAAATAAAATCAGTGAATAAAAAACTATAATATTTCACTCTGAAATGGTAGCATAAAATGGAAATACCTCAAATTTATATTTAAGGACAGTACTTGAGTAAATGTACTTCACCTTCCACCACTGGGTTATTCCTGAGACTGAGGGAGTACAGTAATACAATAGCAGAATTTCTTTGTAGTTGGAATAAAAAATAGGAGAATTTCATGGTTTAGAACACAAATACATCCATTTTAATTTGAGAAAAATACAAAAAGAAACCATGTACAATCTATGTACAAACTTTTTGTACAAGACAGTATATTTATCAGCAGATTATATTTGACAGAGTCAGGTAGATCAACTCAGCACCATCAAATAATCAATTTATCCATCATAGCTATAACACATCCAAACTAATTAGACTGCTATGTCAAACTCCTGTTTGCTGCAATGACGATGTGCCAACAAATCCTATCTGTGATACACAAGCAATGTCCTGAATTCTTCCTGAACTGATAGGCAGCCTAAACAATTAACAAAAATTGCAACTTTTCTTAAAAAAAAAAAAAGAAACATAAAAAATTGCTGAATGCAATTTTAATGTATTATTAAGACTTGAGACCCACCTCCCATCCCTGTAAGTATTATATGTTCTATTATATCTAGTACAATTCCCAGCAAATAAATTATTATAGTCATCCTTTACAGAAGAAAATAGATAACAAAAATAATGCAACATACTGTAACGGTAATGTATGATGCATCATAATCTTTGATTTGTTCAGTGGACAACAACACATCTGATGTTACAGGCATGGGCCTCTATGTGCATCTTTCAGTCATCCATATCTAACTACCCTACTACGGGGCTCCTATCTTTTTGCCCCATCAGGTTTCCTGAATGCCACTTGTCGCTATAGTGGGACTTCATATGGGCCCTCCTCTTGACCACTTGCACTGCCTGGCACTATACTGGCATGGAGGCATTGATGGCTTGGATGTTCTCCATGTCAGTACAAGACACCGTTCTCACAGTGGAAAACACTTGGACTCAGCTCCCTCAAAGTGAGCTTGTGTCCCTGAATGACTGAAGGATGCTTGCTCAACTAAACTCACCATGGCACTTCAAAAAACACTCTAAAAACTTTAGAGGTATACAATGCAAAGACCTAAAACATCTAACAGAGACATATGACAAGGTGTAGGAAGGAGAGACATCTCAGTCCAGTGTGTTGTGAATAATGCCAGCCTGAATGAATTTGCACAATGAGGGTTCACGTAGAAAAAGCACAGTAATCAAGTGTAATGAAAACAAATGGTGCATTACTTTGTGAGTTTATATTAATGCCAGTTTGCAGCATGTACTGTTTTATTTCTGAACAATGCTATGTTTAAGTACCTCAAAAAATACTCTGTAAACAAATAAAAAGCAGTTGTGGCAGATTGTGACAGATGACAAGCTGACAAAATGGAATGTAAACCCTTTAACAACACAAAGACAAAAAAATAAAATTAAGGATGTTCTCTCGTTTGATAACCTTGAATTGGTGCTACCTTCCATCTTTGTGATGGCTGATCCAACCAGATTGAATTCTGCCTCTCTTTACTACTTGTTTAATAGTTTTCGCATTCCTACAATAATCCAGCATCTATCATTTTCAACATACACATTTGTCTTTTTTTTTTCAACATAACAATCAGTTTGTCGATTCTATGTATAATGAGTCATAGCCATTATCAAATATTAATAGTTCCTTATTGTTCAGGCTAGCAAGTATGCCATTAACAGCCCAATTATACATACATTTTACTCACATATTTTCTGAAAAGAAATCTATTTGCTACAAAGTGTGACAACGATGTAATCACAGTTCAAAAGTTCACTTCAGGACAATGTGTATGAGGCTTCAGTATAGTTGCACCACACCCAATAGACAGACATAGAAGCTCAGATCATTTTGTTTGAAAAAGAAATGTGGTCTATATAATGGGTTGAGTTTACACAAACATATTTAGCACAATAATGTTCAGATATTCCAAAATTCTAACTTCTTTTTTCGAATTACTTTTCTTTACAGCCTATAGAGGAGAATTAATGCAATAAACAGACAGCATCTTCCTGTCATATTTGAAATCATATTTTGTGGAAAACACCTGCACACTGTGCTGTAGTGTACACTCTCTTCCTCCACACTAGGGACCTAATTTAGGTCAAACACACTCTGCTCTCCATCTGAATACAGCACTTACCCCCAATACTTAATTCCTTTATACCTATCTTTCCATCTGCATGTTTACAGCTAGGGATGCTTAGTAGTAGACACATTATTTAGTAGAGACAGCTCATCTGTGCAACTAAAAGAGGATTCAGATGAGCCTTAATTTATTTCTGCAAGCACTCAACAGAGCTGAGCTGCCAGGCTGAAGATGGTGGTTTCACAATGCAAGCTAGTCTAAGCTTTATTGGCTCCAGAGTGATGCAGTTTGTTCAAGAGAGTGCAGGGGGATAAAAAAATAATCGTTTGTTTTGGTACGATGTGAAATAAATGGTGATATAGTCAAACACAGAACCCTTTGATATGTTATTGTAATTAAAGATATTATTTGAGTCTTTATATCTCCTCTACTACTTTTCACTTGGTTCTTGTCTAGAAAAATAAGTACAAATTGATTATGTTCATGGATACAAAATAATTGTGTTTTAAGTGTATAAATCCAACTACATATTTGTGTGAAGTTTATGTATGAGGAGTATAAGGCTATCACCTCAATCCTCCATCACTGTCGCAGCTGGATTTGGATCTAGTCAGTGCCTAAACATGTGCACAATATACACGTCACACACAGGCTAGCATAAAAAAAACCCACAGGTTCCTCTTCAGTGTCCTTAATAGCAGTCTGCGGCATTGTTGCATTTCCACCCAACTATGTTTGAGCATTTCCCATGTTAGAGGACTGAACACAGCAGCTAAACTCCTCAGAGTTTTGAGGCGTGTGACATCTGGATTGGCAACAGAGAACATCCAAGCGCTTTACTGCCTCTGTGCCAAACCCGTGCCAGGCAGATGCTCTGATCAAAGGAGGACCCATTGATGCCCACTTTTATGCAATATGTGGCATTTCTTTCCTCAGACATTAACTTCTTGTAACAGACAAAACATTCAGAAAATACACCACTCTTCGTTGTGATCCCAATGTTGCCGCAGGTATCACGGCAAAGCGTCAATGGTGGGCACGCAGCTGCTGTTCGTGTTAGCTCAAACATAGTTGGGGATTTTGGTTTGGTTCCTGATGCAACATAATATTTTTGTTAGTAGATCCAAACCCTCTAGACTCTTCTACAGTTTTTTCCCCTATGACGTTCATTTATATCCCACATGCTGTTCCTTCAAAAGGTGCACTATCACATACAAGCTGATGGAGGAGGTGACAGCACTGATCAGCGCAACACCAGAAGGACAAGTGGCTGCAATGCACACATATAAACATAAAGCTTGTACATAATGTAAATGCTCCTGAACGCATGAAGGACAGGGTAGGTTGTCTTTCATCCATCTCATGTGTTCAGGTTGATCAACCACACTGCATCTGTTATAGAGGGGGCTCAGGCACAGATCATGCGATAGGAGCTTAAAACAGAGTCGCAGGCTTTATGATCTGATGTATCAGCAGAAGGAACAGGGTTCTCTGTCAGCCAGCAAACACCAATGCTGCACCATTCTCTGAGTTTTTAGACTACTGTTTTGCAAAATGAGTTTGTTATACAGGACTGGAATGCTCTCACTCAACATGACAAGTCAACAGTGAAGTAGCAAACCTTAAGCAATGGCATAATGTATAACAACGTAAAAACAAGATTAGTATGCCTCCGAAGCCAAGCAGCCCTCCCTCCCTTCTTTCCTCTCCTCAGCAACATTTTATTTGAGGGAAGAATATGATGGTTCCAGTTGTTCTATCAAAAGTAACTTCAGTTTTAGTGCAAATAGAACAGAAGCAGACAGGAGATATGAAGATGATGAACCCAGCTGACTTGACATGACGCATCTGGGCGGATCTTTGGGAGATGATATGATCAGTTTATCATTGCAACCCTCATCCTCCGATAACCAGTCACCTTAGCCATGGAGTCTGGTCACACGAAGAGGCGAACTATTGCAAAGAATTACAGGAAGTACTCTTTTTTTTTTATACTCTTAAAATAATTCCAAAAAGTGCTAGGGGGAAGGGGCTGTACAATCCTTATTTGATTGTCATTATGTACAACACTATGGATACATAAATAAATAAAACGATGTCCAAGAGCATGGAAGTAACATTAAAGGTATACACATAGGAGGTCCCCTCCAGTTTGGGTTCCTGTCCAGACCTTGATTAGAAGAATTAGTGAAGAGAAATGTGTCAGTCTTCAACATCCCTGTCCTCAGCATCACCCCTCCTCCACGGGTGATCTCTTCCCATCTCTTTTGAAAGAGCATACAGATGTCTGGTGAGTCAGCAAGAAAACCCTGTGTTCAGCATTCATCTTCAACTTCTCTGATTGGTGGAATCAGACTACTAGTGGATTTGTATTGGTTGACTTGGTTGGCCATGTGAGTGCTCATGGGCTTGATCTGAATGTTCCGTGGGTAGGCATTTTCTGGTTCATCTGTAAACCATTTCTTTTCTGAAGAGGACAAGGCGAGAGGGGAAGAAGAGAAAGCAGAGTTAGTTTGAAAAAGTATGCAGCATGGAATTATGTACAACCATACTGCCTCAGTTTAAGTGATAGATTTGCATGGCATTCTTTGTGATTAGCATCAAACCGTGAGATGCAGTTTAAGTTTGTGTTCTCCAAACACACTGGTGTTTGCATTGTGCCAATTTGAATGTCATGTTGTTGTCATGGTGGCATTGTCTAATGAAGTACAGCTGTGTAAGTAGATTAATTTTAGATTTTATTTTAAAACACCTAATATCCATTTTAGTTACAATAATTGTAAATTATAAACATAATTGTTGATTAAGTGTTACGGGGTTAGGTTGTAAAAAATGTTCTCAATTCCTCCTGTTATCTAGCCAAGCACAATGTTTGATTATTCCCCAGTTTTGAGAGAGATTTCTGATGCCATCTCAATACAACAAAGGAGAAGGGAATTCAGTTTGTGTTGCTCACAGCAACAGTGTCGCCAGATTTCAATGGAACTGTTTTCTACAAAGCTAAAGAAAGCTATTGAGATGGTTCTGTGGATTATCCAAACTAGGCTCCCTTTGAGGTGCAAAGTGAAAGCAAAGTGGTGCAGTTGCATATAAGTCAATGCAATGCAAAGATATTAGTGGAGGGCGCGAACATTTGCAAGTTTGCCTGCGGCTGCACAAATTGAAGTGAAGACACCTGGGCACAAGTTAGAAAAATCCTGCGTATCCTGAGGCTTTATGACTTCATTTACACACACACATGCCATTTGGTACCTATGTTGCTAGTGAACTACAGCCAACGCCGGGCAGCCGGTATTAGCTGTTTGACACAGAGACACTGTTTCTAGAAAGACATTGTAGAATTCATTTGTCATTTTAAATGCTGTGAGCACCACAAACAAAATTCCATTCACTTCCATTATGTTGGTGTGGAGGCAGAAATCTCAGAGATAAAAATGTCAAAACCTGGGGAAAAGAAATGTAACTATTTGGATAGCTTGGTACCACTACTGTTAAGGTAGAAAACCCTTTTTTGTAATTTGGAAGAGCTGACCCTTCATGCTAACTAATAACTAAACATTTCATAGTAAGCTTTCCTCCTGTGCTGACAGTCATATGAAAGAAAAGATTTAAAACATTTGGATATGTCATTTTGCAGAGAATATCTTCATGTTAGCGTAATTTATTTATTTTTCAACCTATGTTTTGTGTCTATGTGACTAAATGGGAAAGCGCAGCAGTCAACAGTGGCAAAACAGGGCTGCAGCAAAATCCTTGCGGGCAAATGCGCCCTGTCAAAGTACGTCCAATAATCTCCGTAGGGATCTTTTCCACAATGTTGTCAGAACAATCTGAGCCTTTCAGTGGCAAAAACAAGCACCTTAGTGGTCGTACTTTCAGGGGCAATTGCCCGCAAGAATTAGGTTGCAGCCCTGTTTCGCTGCTGCCAACTGCAGCATGCTCGCTCAATACCGGACCAATTTAAAATAAATGTTGTCCCAATTAGTCACATAGACACAAAAACATGGGAAAATGTTGTTCAGGTTGAAAAATACCAATGTTACCCTTTAAAGTACGCTACGAGAGCAACTGTTTCTCAGTGCGGTATGAGGAAAGGGAAGGGTGTATGCCAGCTGTCAGAACTTTGTAAACTCTCTCCCAGCACTTCACAGGCATCTGGAAATGCCATTCAAGATGTCACTTCCTTTTGGGTGAAGTTGTAATATCAAATTTTAACTTTGCTATGTGGAGCAAACCGTGTGTGTGTGTTCGCGTGCACACGTGCGTGAATGTGTGTTCACGTACATGCAGGCTTGCATGTGCGGAGATTCATTTGTGTGGGCTTGTGTGTGTGTCAGCAAGCTTAAGGCTGTGGGCCCGTGTGTTACAGCACAGACATTTGATGTGTAGAACTGTGCCTGAGGTGAAGCAAGATGTCTGCCATCTCTCTCCAGAGTCTGCTGCTGATACGGTGAACTTAGTGATGTCGCCTCAAACCACCATATCAGGTGCACAGGGTTACAAGGAGGGAACTTACAGACTCATATCCCCCTTCAATTTAGACTTTAAATTGGTCACACCTCCCACTTTCTTGGTGTGACCAATGGCACAGGGCTGGACACACTTTCTTAAAGTTCTGTGAAGAAGTAAGCAATTGGCTGCATCAGGGGGATTTGAATGAGTCTGACCTACATGTGAGCTATAATCTAGGTTTGTACAGTCCGGCAAACATGTTGTTACTCTGTGATTTATGCTGATGCTCAAACAATAACCTACTGTACTCAATGAGAGCATATATGACTTCTTTAAGTCTGCTACAGCTACAGTCATCTAATAGCATTCAATAGGAGGGAAGATGCGCAAACACACAGACCTCTCACACAATGCAAACCATTTCAAGTTGAAATAAATCATAAAAAGGCATGATAAATGATGGAAAGAAACAATGTGAAAAGGGATTTGTTTGGAGGAAAAGAAAACTCAAGTGAATAATTGTGGTAAAGGCACAAAGAAAGGGGGGGTTTTGTCTCAACCTCATGCAATGTGGAGATGGTCCTGATCATGGCAAGGAGGAGGCAGGAGCAGCAGACATTTTGCTTTCCAGATGAAAGCAAAACTTAAACTGAGGCATGGTTTACTTAAGATCTGAAGAACATAATAAATAAAACAAACTCCCCTTGTCATAACAATATCCACAGAGGACAAAGTTATGATCAGAACCCCAGGTAAAGGTTACTAAGTCATGCAGAATCGTTAACTTGCATACCTTGGCCCATTCTATTCATCCTTGTTGCACTTCAGAAAGAGAGGTAAGTAATCTACTGTAAGTGAGTAGTATTTACAGTCAATACACAACTGACAAATGACTACCAGTTCAACTAAGTTTTACATATTGTTACTACAGTATTTAGTCTATATCATACATCTTAATTTTAAGATGTATTGAGGGCGTATCAGCTACAATTTAATAATTAGTAACAAATCTGCATGCTTTTAAAATATGTCACAATTTCATAATTCAGTTACTTTATTCTCCCAGGTGAAAATTTCAATTCAAAGTGTATATTTTTTGCGGGGGTGGAGAATAAGGACTTTTCAACATGTATGTCAAAATGTTACACCAAATCTGAAATAATCTTATAATTGTATAAACAGAACAGGAAATAAGAGCCTGCTAAAGAGGGCTACCAACATGGACATGCAATAAAGCAGTACAGATGCACCATGAACAACAAAATATCAACACTGCTAATGAGCGATGGTCTTATGAGAAACAGCGTATCAGTAATATTAGCTAAATGTGATTTATCATCAATATCAGCTACAGTAGGTAAATCACAATACATTACATCCATGATCGAGGCGAACTGATCATGTGTGCTAAATGTGCACAAATCTCCAACAAACAACAGTTATTTACTACACATATGAGTTAGACACAAAACAACTAAATATTAAGACAGATACAACAGGTAGGCCAAACAACATACTGAATGTGTATTGTGTTGCATTATGTAATTTAATTTGGCTGTGCTTAAGGACATTTCCATAAGCTTGTTTCCAACCATAATGGCTGTGCCATCCAAACAAGTGGTTTTACCGTTTACAAAACCGCAGACTTTAATTTGTAAGAAAAGAGTCCCAGTAGTCTTTGACTATAATAAATGAGACCAGCTTTCCACAATGTGAGTTTAACTATTTGGTAATGCCATGTTGTGATTGCTGTGATGCGAGAGTGAGGACCACATGCAGATGATTATGAATGAAACGCACAAACACTGGCACATGGACGCAGAGCACACATCAAACAAACAAAACCACAAACACACAAAACACAGTATTTCTCAGTGCATGTGTCACCACAGTCTACACGCAAACACACACGCGCACACACACGCACACATACACACACACAAGCACACCTATAATATGCAGGTCAGGTATAAAACACTAAACATGCAGACTAAAACTCTACAGGACATGTGAGTGCACATACTTCTGTTTGTCGCGGGCCTCCCGGGTCTTACTGCTGCGGTTCTGCCGGTTGGAGGGAGGGATGGAGTGGACGGAGGAGCTCTTTTTGCTGGAGGAATGGGAGGAGTGGGAAGAGTGGGACAAGCTTGTCCGGGACTGGCCTGCGTTGTGGTCAAACTGCATGAGGCAGAAGATCAGGTCTGTGGGCACGAGCTCAAACTCATACGGTGGGTTCGTGATCACATATCTGGCCAGAAAACAAATGTTAGAAAACTGTTATGAAACTTTCATGATCCTCATGGGGCAACACTAAATAGTGAAGGGTACATCAAAGAAAGAAAGGCATATATTGGCTTTACTTTGTTATTAGCATTTGAAGGAGCGATATGGGTGAATGGTTGAGAAAAACATTATCAAAACTTTATGATGTGTAAAATTGTATGCTTTGTAATAAAAGGACTTAATGTATGACTAAGAATTTGATTTATATTAGCATACATCATACATCATCAATTATGTAGCATAATTAAAGCAAGAAATTAGAAAATAGAAAATATACTGTAATGTACTATATTTTCCATGTACAAATTAGAGGATTTTGACTATTAAGAACAACATATAAAAAACACTGCATATACATATAATGGAAATTAACATAATTAAAAAGAGGCAATGTCATGTATATTACATAAATAATGTGTGCAGGAGACATACTATATATCTATTTAGCAAGGCATAATTATGTTTAATAGTCAAGAACAATTCTCCACCTTATTAGATGGCTCTGAGCAATATCTACTCATTATACAGATTATTGTCAGTCTTATATTTTATTCTATTTTATATTTTTATATTTCATTTAGTCTAGTTTAGTTTTTGTGTGCACTTTGGCCCTGTAATTGTACTTGGGTCTCATCTACTTCATTTATTGCTGTGATTTATGTGAAGTAGCTGGTGTAACACTGCAATTATTTCTTGGGATTAATAAAGTACTCCCTCAATAACCCTAATTGCTACTTTTATTACATCAAAATATTAATTTTGACACAGAATGAAGGCAGAAATTGTACCGTTTTGTACACCCGCTTGGTGCATTGAGATGAGCGTCTCTTAATCTGTAGATTCCAAAACACAGCATGTTGTACGTCTTCAATGCTTTACAGAACAAATCTCCGTAGCAGCCGCCATCCTGATAAGCAACAGAACAAAGGCACCATCAGTGAGTGGTGGGTCAGCCTGATGAACTGGATCAGTGATCGTAAATGTAATTCTATGTAAATTTGTTGTGAAAATTCAACGTTCTGCATTGCTGTTGGCAGTGCAGACTGTAACAATGAGCAATGTTAAATGTAAAATTATGCCATAATTCATCCAAGAACAAACAACATTGCTTCAGCATTGGAAGTTCTTTAAAACAACAAAAAAAACTGTAAAAACAATGCTGGAGCCAATTAAACTTGGAATTTCCCTTGGTGGTATCCATTGTTCTCTTTAAAACCCTCTTCTCTCTCCGCCCACTAAGGCCTGCTTTGCGTGAACACTGTTCTTCACATCGGATTAAGGACTGCAAGGAGCGGAGGCGGCCAGATGTGCGCTGCTGGGTAGTGCCAAAACGTGTCATCTCTACTTAAACATCCACTTACCCCCAAGTCGGCAAATGGCCCATCGTAGAGGGCTAGCTGGGCGACGCGACACCTGTCTCTATTGGCCAGTGTCTGCGGTGTGCTGTAGCCTCCTCTGAGAGCATTCTCCTCAGCCAACAGGCCCTCCAGCTCTGGTGTGGCTCCCCCTGTGACCAGTGTCCGAATCAGCGTGAGGATGTTATCATTGAAGTATGTCTGGGGAGAGGAGAGAGGGGATATCTGTAAGCAGATGCCATTAGAGTCACAAGTACACAGGTGGCAGATGTGGGATAAAGCAAGCACAGCCCTGTTATGTCGACCCTCAAACCTCCGCCTGTCTTTTCACAAAGAAATGAGTGAGGAAAAAGATTACAGAGGTCTTGTGTGTCACCTACATATTTTCTTATAAACTCCTGCTAAGATATTTTTTTTTTTGTAAACTGGGTAAACAAGCCTCATAAAGTAAAGGTTTAACATATATACATTTATCAAATTTGAGAGAAACATGGTCAAACTATGACATTTTGATAATCATAGTAGATCAAGTGGGATCATTATGGAAGAGATATAGAAGTATCAGCTTTTTCCCCTAAGCTATCAGACTCTTAAACTCTAATTTATCCTCAACACCGCTCCATTGATTTTAGTTTATTTCTGTTACCATTTTTCATAATTGATTCTTTATTAATGCATATTGTCTGCTATGTAGCAGAAGGGAGTTATAAAACACAATTTAACTCTATAACTTGTTATATTGGGACAGTAAACCTACCTACTTACCTACCTATCATCATGTTAAATAAAACAGGTACTTGAACACAGCACTATTCTTTCCTGTAGGAACACTGTTCTAAACATTGTATGATGTCCGCTTCCCTTCTGAAACAACGATTTGACTGCGCTCTGCGGGTGTCAGGTTCTCTTGTCCTTCAGGCCGATCAAGACCTGTTTTTGCAGAGCGTGAAGATAGCCGATGTCATTCGGCAGCTGGGCCAGAGTGACAGCTCCTCTCCCCGGGCCCCTGACAGGCCTGCAGAGCCTCATGATGGATGAGCACTGTCCATTAGCTGGCTTCACCTCTGACCAGTGCCAGACTACAGCTGACGCCTGCTCTACTCCCTGCTCAGCTCGGCTCCTCACGCCCCTCTAACCCCTCGCTCACTGAGAGGGCTACTGGAATTAAGCCATCACAGCACCAAAGGGAAAACCACAGCTGGTCATGGGAGGGGGGAGAGGAAAAATGAGGTATAGAGGAGAATTTTTCCACCCCAACCTTCTCCTTTATCTTATCTCCAGTGCAGCAATGACATTGTCAAAAGATGAAAGACTGTTTCTTTGGCCTGTTACAGCCAAGCTTGTGTCATCGCCATTAAGATAACCTGCAACACTTACTTCGTTAAAACATCCAATGAGGCTCTTGAAAATTGAATTCATAATACCAAAGATGAGGACTGATGCCAACAATTTCCCTTTTGATGTCAGTGGAGCTGGCAGGCAGGTATGATGAATGTACTGTACCGTTACATTTACCAACTTCTGCCTACTTGAAATGCCACAATCAGTATCTACTGAAACTCATTGCTGAATGCACCCCATTTTTCAATACTGGGGGAGCAGTAGAGAAAATAATCTCTTAGTCTGAGACTATTGTATCTACTTTTTCATGGTAACTACTGATGTGTCTGAAAAATGATTTCTTTTGTTACCATTAACTTGAGTATTTGAAAATAGGTTTCTAATTGAATGAATACAATTGTTTATCAAATTGTAGAGTCACAACCACAAGCAAAAGAAAACATATGAATTCACTACATTCTGGGGTTTATACCTTCTAAAGTTTTCTCAGGTCCATCCTTTAAGTTTGACTCTCTTCGAAGTTGCTCACCTCTTTCCCTCATCCTGAAGTTTCTACCAGTGCAACACCATGCAATTGTTACCCAGTGGGCACAGCATCTCTATGTACTTTGTGTGAAACTTCTCTTTCCTTTCTCTTTTTGAAATTCTGAATATCACTCGACAGTAGCATCCAAACACAGAATAATCAGGAAATTTTAATTATAAAATGTATTGCCAAATGTGAGATTTTGAAAAGCGATTTTGTGGTTTTGAAAAACACTGCAGACACAGCGAGTGTATGGTGTGCTTGACAACCCACCGCGCTCATCAGGGAGTCAAGTACACTGACAGCGAAGGCGGTGCCGCAGGCGAAGGGCTGAGTGAGGTACAGCTCTGTGTCTGGGTCGTCATCATCATCTTGGTCCAGGAACTGAACGTTTGAGTCGTTCACTGAGAGAGGGGAGAGAGGGAGTTAGAGACGGGCATTGTGAAGAGGCATGAGACAAACACACACACACACACACACACACACACACACACAAACACCAACACACCTGAGAGGTCAGAAATATAGAATTCTTCGTTTATAATAAGTTACATTTGGGGAAATTTGGATATACCATGATACTAAAAACACATACGTCTCAGGTATATAGGTATTGATCCAGGATTTGAGCTTCTAATATAATGTAACATTAGATGTACATTATATTTTGCTTCTACACTACAAGATTAAAAGTAACTTTATTTCTTCTCCAAACAATTGACATGTTTTTGATTGACCCTAAAACACAGTTGAATGAATTACCTTTCAGTCAGGCTAAAAAAATTAATGAAATCTATCTATCCATGTACTGTATAATTGTTTGGAAGGTGAAAAAAGTGTTTTTGACATTTTGGAAATAATTCAGCATTTTGAATATTCAATCTACTGTAAATCACATGCAGGGTGCATTTCATACATTTAGACAAACCACGTCTTAAGGAGAAAATATTTAAGTATATAATGCATACACAGTGATAACCATTGTAGAAGTCCCAATTATGAATCAATAATACATCTATGCTTTACAACCTCAGTAGCCAAAGTAGCTTGATCTTTTTTTTTTTTTATTACGGCAACACAAAAGTACATATTGTATATATTGTAACAAACAGAGACAGTGACCAGTCTGGACTGTGTAGCATGTATAAGGAATAAAATTATTATTTATAGTCATATATGTATGTCTTGATTTATCTAGTAAACATGGTAAAAGTGAGACTTCAACAATGGCTACTAAGTCACATGAGAAAACCATGCACTTATAAACTCATGCTAAGTTGTACAGAGTTTTCCTTGATGAATGTGTTTGTCACATTATCACCTTTAGAGATATACATCTCAAATATTTACCTTTGCCCTGAAAGTCAAATTAAAGCCAGGTAACAACACACTTTTTTATCTCGTGTTTAATAATAATAATACATTAGGTCTGCTAAATGAATTAAATGGCACAGTGTGAATGGAAACTGAACCAAAACTGAAATAACAGAATATTTTTTGTCTCACATACATGGCATAATTGGTAAAATAAAAACACTAAGTGCTCCCTATGGTGTGTGTATTTTTCCTAGTATTGCTAGCAGCAGTGGGCAGTGAAGGGTCTATGAACCAGCATTGTGCTAAGAAAGATCATCACACAAGTTTTTGTTTGACTCCTCCAATATCTGAGCTTCACAGATATGTTCTGGAGGAGAAAAAAAGAAACTGGAAAATAAAATTTAAAAATAAATAAACAGCTTAAAAGATGGTTTGATCTTAGTTTTTTTTGTTTTTGATATTTGATTTCTTCCCAGGCTTCCTGTGCACTGTGGAACAGAAATGTCAGTCAAAGAGACAAGGGGCTGATGCAAACGGGCCTGGGCCAAAGGAGTGAAGGGGTGGGGGGGTGTGGTTGATGTGTGTGTTTGGAGGAGGAAGGGGGATGAGGGGCGGGGGATGAGGGTGTTGCTATGAAAACAGCCACAAGGACAGACTGAGCATGATCAAAAGCCTAGTGATGCTCTGCAAACGCAACTGGAGGGGGAAAAAATACCCCAAAAAGAAAAAAAAAGAAATCATTAAAAAAGGGGCCAAAACAAGACAGTCAATTTCAACCAGAACGAAGAATAAAAATGTGTTCAAAGTGAAGCCATGGGAGCAGTGAGGGCCTTGACTGCAGCCAGATAAATCAAGACAAGCTGCTGAGGAGCAGAGCGCGGCGGAGCGAGGGAACTAACGGCAGCAGAGGACAAAGGCTCGGCTTACCCAGCTCTGTTATCATTTGTATGTTGGTTCCACTTTTTTTTTCCTGACTGAGTGGAACCAATGGCAGTAGTTTGCCAGGTTTAGCTAATGGTGATGAGACAGCGCAGGGAGGAGGAGAAATGGTGTCGTTATTGAAACAGTTTCAAAGACTGCAACAAAGGCAATTCGCTATCTCGGCCACTTGTGTCAACTCTGGAATTACTCTGAGACATTCATGGTTGCCCAGTATCTAAAAGTAAAGCACCCTGGATTAGACTGCACAGTAGATTCAAAGCCAGAGCTGTCAACTGCGTTACACGACTACATCAACAATAAATTATTTCATGGTAAGACAGTGAAAGGGATAAACACGGTCTTATCCGTAAACACACCTACTTTACACGTCACGCAACCAAAATTGATCATGCAACTCAGATGAGGCATGTTTGTATGTTTCAACTTGACTTTAATCTGCTCCTGGCACTGTAAATTGAACATATGACAATGTAATTACTGTATATGGTTCCAGCGAGACATGCAGCCACTCTCTTCTCTGCATGCTCTTACTTCTTCCTTTCACCGAAAGGACAATGTTATCACATCTACTGTTGCTGTAGCTGTGAAATTCGTTAGCTACGAGCAAGCAGAGGTACAACACTCGGAGCGTCTGGCATTTGAGTCCTGGACAGCAACCAATGACTCCAGCATGGATAGCATCTAGTTTTGATGATTACATAGCAGCAGACTAATGGGAGAGGCTCTCTACAGGTAATGGCTGGCCTGGTTACAAGTAACATTAGGTAGCTCCTTTCTCTTTCTGGCCTTTTCTTAGCTGGCCTCATGCTCCATTGCTCCCTAATTGGGTCAGGGGAGACAGAGTAGCCGGTCTCTGCTGCTTTAGAAGGCCCCTCAGAGATCTGAAAGTTTCATGAGTCCCCACCACCAGTGGGAATACAGCCACTGCCATTGTTATTAATAAATGGACCCATTTTGCAACCAAGGCAGTTTTTCCCCCCCTCTACCTTTTCACTCTCTTTCCTCTTACCTTTTTTCCACTCTCCCCCTCTCCATCAGGCTGAGTTTCTCTTGTGCATTAGTTGACAAATTGCAGGAGATGTAGCTATCGTCCTAAAAATCCCCGTCTGACATCCTCAAGTTACAGTGGTCCACATTGTCCTCAGATCAAAGATATTTCCCAGTCCCTGCAGCTAACATTATCACCACTTGACCACCACTTTAAAAGCTAGCCAGATCCAATAATTCACATACGAATATGAACTTGAGTTGGGCAAAGCTACAACACCATGAAAGGGAACAGAAATTCCACACAAAGCAGTCCTAAATCCATTTGACCTTGAATGAGTTGAAATGTTTGTTAGCAGCATGATGCTTAAGTCTTATTATTGCCTCTATATGTGCCTGTGTCTGCGAATGAATAATGAGTTGATCTGAGGTTATTGGGAATGGCATGCAACATTTGCATTTGAGGTCAGTGGGAACAGTTTTACCTAGCTCTGTGATGATGGGGATGTTGGATCCGGTGGTGACAGAAGCCTGACGCACAAAGCCATGTACTGGACTGCTGTCTGGAGATGACCTGTCCATTCCAGGAGGCGTGAAACCTGAACACCACATACAGATTCACAGAAATAAGCAAAAAACATAACAGGGTGGCATTTAGAGATCTGAACATAAAAGTATTGCATTTTCTTCTAGGTTAACAAAAATACAGTTCAAGCAAAAACCTACACGTCTCATAAGTGTTTTACTACAGATGTATCATAAGGACGCGACCTGGAACTCAACACCATTATATAAAGTGCATGTCAGCTCACTCAGCAGTTGTTGATGTTTGCTTTCTGTGTCATTCAAATGTGTGGATTGACAGTAAAACAAGGAAGAAGGAAAAGAAGGCTAAGTGAACAAGGCACCTGCCTAGAAATTGAAATATGGATACTGTGCTTTTAGGGGTCAGCTAAGACATATTTAGCATTCACATCTCTCCATCAACGGGCAGACATAAATTTTATATGTTGTTCATTTTGTTACAATAAAATTGGTGAAGTGGATCCTGAAAACCTTTTATCGGAAATGGCGTGGCTGAGAACCATGAAATACAAGTGCAAGTGACAAGAGTATGAATTCACATGACTTCACATTTTTGCATTTCCTCAAAGTGACAAGTAAACACCTTAAATCTGTAATGCTATATGCATAATGCATCAACTGTGTTTTGACATCCATCATTTAGTGCTGACTACAGCAAAATGCCAGCTTATAGTGCCACCACCAAAGAAACCTAATGCAGGGAATATATTCAGGTCACAAAGTTTTAAAAGGATTGCAGATTCTCTATGGATGTGTGTGTGTGTGTGTGTGTGTGTGTGTGTGTGTGTGTGTGTGTGTGTGTGCGCCTTTCCTGTCAAGAAACTCAATGAGCTGCTTACATTACAAAAGAGATCTCCCAGCCCTTTGCAATAGAAAAGACACCAAATAGTTTAGTACACAGCAGGAAGCACACACTGAACTGAAGCATGGATAATCATAACTCTTGTTATACCAATTATTGAACTTGGAAATAGCAGAGGTTTGACATTTTGAGTCAACCAGGGAGCACAAGCTCAGACTGTGCGAACATCATTTTGTCGATGTCCATAAAGGATGATGTTTACTCCACTGGAGAGTGACGGCAAGTTTTAGGATACTGCCTCTAAAACACTGCTCGTATTGTATCATAGCGAACATGAAGACAGTACAGAGCTGTAGAAGAACAGCTTCCGTTCCGTGTACAGCAGAAAGCGATTGTTGGTGTACATGAGGCCTGCTGCTGAGCTGCTTTCAAAACCTGTTAGGTTACAAACAGCTCAAAAGTTGTTGGTGGTGAGCTCCAAACAGAGAGCTGTATGTCTTCCTAAGACGGAGCCAGAGTTCTGCAACGTCAGAAGAGCTCAAATGTGTTTATCTCCCTGAACATAGTTCTTCTAAAATTTTATAAATGAAAGAAATTTATTCTTCCATGAAACATTCACATCTGACACATAAAATACTCTTGTACGTATCTATTTATACAATTAAATCTTAAGACTGTGTGCAAAACATATAACAGTTATACTGCCTGAATCCTCTTCATTTAGAAAAGAAGTTTTTTCTAACTGGATTTCATAATCGGTATATGCCTGTACTGTTACATTTTGGCAATTAATGGATGATTTCCTGATTGCCTCAAATAGGGAAGTCAGAGTTTGAAAACCAGGCTGATCAAGCACAGTGTCTCTTCTTCTGGCGGTTTGTTGGTATTGTGAGGCTGTAACCTCGTCTGTTCAGCTACAACGTACAATAGACTGCAAGTGAGATCTGGGTTACATACCCCCTCATCCCTGTAACCCCCCGGGCACAGCTATTCTCTGTGGTTGACTACATGCTACAGCAGCTGTGAGAAGCTCTCCCCCAGGAAAGTGCATGTTTATTTATTCATTTGCACCTTCTTGTTTTAAATTCCACAGACAGTGTCTGAATGGGAGCATCGCTAGGAGGAAGGAATCCCCAAAGCAATACCTATGATACAATAACAGCGTCTGGGCTATGTGTGTGCGTTTCCTTGTGTATGCATGATTGCATGTCACTTTGGTGTGTATGTGTGTTTTCTAAAGTGAAGTACTTATCACTGAAATGGGTGGTTGATGTAAGACCCAATTATTGATGACAATAGGCTCCATCCATCGACCCTGTGAGAGGATACAGGCTAGTGGGCTTCCATATTGAGGTGGCTTTCTGTGAATACTACTACCCAGAGCGGCATGCTCTAAGATTTACCCCTGCTTATTGTTCCTCGGTGGCACTGCTATCGACAGCACATCACTCACTCAAGGCTGGAGAAATAACAGCATTGGCATTCACCTAAAACATGTGGAAGTGCTCTGCACTAAAAAATAATGGCCTCTTGGACCTTCAACTTTGATTTGTATTTACAACAGTCACTGTGGTGGCACTAAATAGTACTGAGCTCAAGGCATGTCATGCCTTTCGAGCTAATCATAAACTGAGGATTACCTGTTTGGGGATGTGCGAGGATAGATTGCTTTGGCATGGATGTCTGTGTGTGTGTTGTTTGTGCAAACCAACGTGTACGCGCATTCCAACACGAAGGTGCATGCGTTCATGTGTCGCTGTTTTGTTGTGACTAATGAGGAGCAGCTGAATTGGCCTGCCTGGTGATTTGTACTAGCTGCTTAATGATGATGAGGCCTGATGGGATGCCAGGTTCATGTGTTTGTCTGCAAACATCAACAATCTGTTCCAGACGATCTGCCAGACACCAGATCAGGGGGAACAACATCAAGTGACACAGTCATGTTGATTACATCATTAAAAAATATTATCAAGGAGGTTTAGCAGCATGTAATTACCAGGGACAATGAAATCATCAGAAAAATGATGTGGCGCAAACCCTCTTCAAGGGCTTGATGAAGCAATCAACAGAATGTTTTGTGTGTGTACTTCTTCAGGAGTTACAGTAAAGTCAGTTCATACATGCCACTTATAACAAACTTGTGGAGTGTATCAATTAAGAGCTCTTAGCAGACTCTGTGTTTGACAAACTACATCCGTCCCTCCTGTGTGGCCTTCTCATTCCCCCTCAAATCTTTTCCTCTCTTCTTTGACTACTGTCTTTCCTCCCTGCCATAACCTGTCCCCTTTGGGCAGCAGTGCACATGGAGTCTAATAGGACGCTCCTTACCTTGGGAATTAGCCTGTAAGACCCCAATGCTGTCATCAAACTGCATAGATTTGATGTTGAGTGATGCCAAGATGCATTCCTTATCCTGCAGTGAGGCATCTTCGATATTGTTCTGATTGGCTGACAGTATTACGCACATGTCGCAGAGGTTGATGTTGACAGCCCTTAAATCTGCCCGACTTAATGGTGTACCCTTCAGGGTGAGGAGAACAGAGAGAAAAAGCAAGACAGAGACACAGAAAGGGAGAGAGAGAGAGAGAGCAAAATGCAGAGAACAGACAGACATAGGGGAGAGAAAAACAAATTTAAGAAGTGAGCGGAGTGGAGCTTTGGGAAATTAGTTAACAAGTATTCTTGTTTTGAGGCGTTGACATTCCACTGATCTAACTGGGCATTGGAGAATCAGAGACATGGACTAATCTAAAGGCTAGCTTGTGCTGAGGGCTGTGTTTGGGATTCTCCTCTGATCATCAGTCAAGCCAGGCCTAACAAGCTCTAAGGCAGGCAAGCCACGCCATCTGCGATGGGCGCTGCAGCTACAACACACATAAACTCCATTTTAGATATATGCGGCATGTGTCACCGCTCTGGACGAGGGGGGTTGTCCACGCTCTCATGGAGTGATCATTCAATTGAGTAATGTATGATCAAATTAAACTGACAATCCCTCACAGGATTTCAGTGTGCATGTAACTCAAAATGTCAATGCCTCGTTAGTTGAACAGAGATTCTGGTTTAAATGTGTCTCCTATGGTGGTGAACTGGTACACTCACAGGTAAGATGGAGACCTTGGGGAAGTTGTGTAAAGTCTCCCACTCTCTCCGCAGGTAATCCAGCGAGCCCACAAAAACTATAGGCTTTAGCTCGTGGTAATGGAAGTTGCTGGCTCTTAAAGGCATCACCAAGTTTCGCAGCCCCACTAAAGCGGACGTGACATCCCCAAATATACAGACCACCACATGGCCGCTCAGCACTGTCATGGAGGCTTCACTCCGGGTCTGCAGGGAACAGAGGGAAGGGGGAGAAGAGCAGAGAGCAAGGATGAGAAGGAGTGCAGACAGGGAGAGGCAGAGACACACAGAGACAAACACAGAATTACAGAATAGAAATTAGTGCTGTTAACAGGTTAATGAGCACAAGGTAACAAATTCTAGTTTAAAAAGTGCGTAAAAGTCTTTTATAAACTGTTACAAACCCATATTAAATAGTTTGTTAACCAAGTGTATAGTTGAATTATATATTTAATCCACCATTAAAGCATTCTACTTACTACTTAAACATAAACAAAAGTTTGGTTAACCACTATTCTGTTTATAAGCAGTTTATTGGATAATCAGAAATATGAATTTCACAGAACAAAAACAAGAACAAAACATGTGTTGTTGTTTTGTCAAAGGGCAGCTGATTCAATCAGGCTGAGAATGCAGTTTGTAAGATTTTAGGCACCCTGTCATAAATCAGAGAGGTATACATAAACAAAGCTCCTCTATTGTATTAAGTTCATGATGAAAAAGAACAAAGCAATGACCTGTTTTTAAAATCCGTCGCCTGTCGCACCAGCTTGATGTGCATTCTATTACAAGTATACATTAAGAAGACTTAATGCTACCACCAGTCAGTTTGTTGATTTGAGAAATGGGGTAAAACTAAGAGGAACAAGGGACCAGTGTTGCAAATTGGCTCATACTTTCAGCTGATTGCCTGATCTGGTGGCAAACACTGATTATCTTTGTATCTAGAACATTTTTGGTGACCCAACCAAGTGAGAACTAACAAGTCTAAGTACAATCTTTAAAGAGCAACAGAGTCCCTAGTATATTGGTCAGACAAAAGCAACAAATATGCTTCAATGTCTTTACTATACTATTTAGGTGGCTGTGTATTCTATTTTACATTATATTTGGAAAAAAATTATACCACAACCTAAATGCTTACAAACTGCCTTGTTGAAACACCTGAACAAACCCATGCGTGGAGTGTTGAAATGCTGTTCACAGATCCTTGGTGGATATATAAAATAAAAACAATAAAACTCACCTTGAAACAACAGAGAGGCAGTGAGAGAAATATCAATACATATTAGTATGTGATTGTGTTACTACAATATTGAGGGGAAACGTTTGCTCCTGAGCATACTTACTTTAACTTCTGTTTTATATTGCATAATCTATTATATTTCAGAGGATTGCAGTTACACAGTTCTTCCCTCACTCACCAGGATGACTTTTTCGATGTCCTTTGATGGGCACCAGTGAAACATCCCTGTCGAGTCATACCTCTTCACGTTCATGTCCATGCTCTCGATTTGCTCATTTCCAGGAATTAGAAGGGGGTCGTGTCGACTGAAAAAACAGAACATTATAGTCATGTTCAGTGTTGGGCAGTTACTGTAATAATATCACTTTTCCCAGTAACTGAGTAGTGTAACTAATTACTTTTCTAAAACAGTATGATTTGAAGTTACTAAAGCAAGTAACGCTGCGTTACTCGTTACTGAACGCACCATACTTGACGTGAATACACGACTGTGCGGCGGGTCAGACTGTGCTGACTTGTTCATGTCCGCTGATAGCCAAAAAGCTACAGGAAGAATGGAGAACGAGGGAGAGACGTTCTTTCCACAGCTGTAAGTAGCTGCTGCCATTATTGTGTCAGTCTGATGCAAAGAACATTGTGGTCTAGTGTAAACCAGCAAAAGGCTTTCCACCGCGAACATTTCTACATCTGATTTACTGAAGCATCTGCTGAAGCAGCACAGCAACGTGAAACTTACAGAAAGAAACTCCGGCAGCTAGCCTACTGCCACTGATGCTTGGACTCGTCGGGAAAGAGTGGCTTTAACGTAGAGTTTTGTAACTACTGAATAGGCCTACTGCTCCTATAAACAGGCTACATGTGCAGAAAAACAACTGCTTAAAAGTCGGGATTTACTTGCTTTATTTTTTTATTTCAGCAGCTGGTGTTAAGAAGCGTTAGGCCTAGGCTATATGGTTTGTAAAACCATAGGCCTAACGTTACTCTTTGCTGCTGTTGTGACTATGATATTAGTTAAAAAGTCTGGAGAGACTGCTTTGTTTGGGGGTGAAGGGGAGTGGTAGTGAAAGCAGTGTTTCCCATAATTAGCCCCCCACACACACACATTCTGTGGGAAACACAGTAATATAGTAACGTAACTTGTTACTTTTATCACACAGTAATAAGTAAAGTAATAATATTACTTTTTAAGGAGTAATAAGTAACTAGTAATATATTACAATTTCTCAGTAACTTGCCCAACACTGGTTATGTTAGACCATTTCTTGGAATGACTGCAGCCTTGTGGATGAAGTAGTAACATGTAAGAGGCAAAAGACAACCTGGGGTTCTTGAGATCTGCTATTCTATCTATTCAGGCAATATTAGCAGTCTTTCCCATTCTCGTAGTGTTCAACTTTCTACTGCACTGCATACTGTAGGTCCCATACCTCCTCTGTTCCTTCTTGTCCTCAAATGCTACTGACTGAATGGCATGACAACACAAGGCCAATTACCAGCTTTTACCCTCTCTTCCAGTTCCTGACGCCATGCGGTGCAAAGAGTAAAAGTTCCAACAGGCTCCCACTTTAAATATTTCAGGAATTTGCCCAATCACATTTTGCTTTCTCAACTGATGGCCATTAATGTTTCAACAGCATGTCACAACCAAACGGGCTAATCCACAGCAGTGGGCTGCTGAGTTTTATCCGGTGTAACACTGACCATGAAAGGGTTCCTGTCAGTCCTGTTATACCGCCTCTCTTGTTCTTGCACTTATTCTACAAGACGTGTTCTCACAGTTCTTCTAAAGGAAAATTTTGGAACAGAAAATTTCATCCAAAACACTGAGTCAGGGCAAAATGCAAAACTGTATTGCGGTTCCTCAATAAACATTGCTTGTTTAATAGCAATGCAAATGTAATTAATTTACAATTCAACCCAAACAATGAAATCCTTGGTTAAAACAGCACTATACAGACTGCAAAACACGGAACTGCAGAGAGACACACACTTGAGTAATATGGGAGAAAACATCTCAAGAATTTGACATACATCTCTCTCACTATCACTCTCTCTACCATCTATCAACACTGTAATTCACTGACAAGGCTTTGATGTTGCCTCTTCCTTCAGCCTGCATTTGAGTTGCATACCATCGCAGAAAAAGTAAAATAAAATAAAAAATAAAGCTGTCAATTAGCCTCCTCTCTCTCCACCTCTCATCCCCCTCTTCCCTCTATCAGTTAGTGCAGGTGATAATAACACTGACAGCATTTAGTGTTTTTACACTCAGCCTGAATCTTTCATCCAGAGGCGCGTGTTGCGCCAATCAACTCCACAGAGCCCCCGTCACTTCAATCTGCTCTGCTCTGCTCGCCTCCACACAGGAGCTGACTGGCGCATGCAGGCGGGCTGCCGCTCCAGCTCTCTCTGCCAAGACAGCTATCTTTCACAGAGCTGTCAGCGGTGTGACTGGCAGCCTGTCACTGGCTCTGCACACCTCCTTCTCCCTCTGCCTTCCCTCCGCCTCGGGTTGAACCTACCACAAGACTCGGGGAGAGCAGACATGCCGTCTGTGCCACAGTGCCACGCCCAAGGGATATCAGCTGCGGATGGTACTGTGACATCTTCTACGATTTGATGCGTGTCGTCAGTCATGACCCGTCAAAAAGGTTTGTGGGAATGGTGTTAATGCCAACACAGCAATGCTAAGGATAGGTCAGCTAGGATGCAAACTGTGATTAAATGTCACCCTTAGTGTTCACAAATGTGTAGTGTTCCAAATTAATTCCTGACATATTTATTTTTCTACATTTCATTTTTATTTATTATTTGGAAAGTATATCAATTATTAGAAGTTTCCCTACCAACTATACATTTATTTAGAGTGCCTCGGGTTGCAAAGCAAATATTTTCCCTCTGTGAGATACAGTATTTTATCAGATGCACTGTTATATAGAACACATATTTCCCTTAAAGCATGTCTCACTCCAGTGTCTCACCCCCCCTCTTTCTTCCTCCCTACCTCCCTCCCTCAGTATATATTTCAAACAGAGTTGAGTTATTCCAGTGTATCACTCTGCAGTCACAAACTGGGGATGGGCGTGCTCCCCCAATCCCTCTCTGCCAGACTACGAAAGGCAGCCTCTTGCTTTGAAAATTTTCCCCATCATGCAAACTGACAAAGGCATGCTTTTCAAAAGCCCACAGCCAATCTGTTGATCATTATTTATTTACAAAGGCCTTCAGGCTGCAAGTCCTGTAAAAACCATACTTGATACGTATGCTCACTCTCTTGCTAGCTCTCTACTGTGCTTTCCCCCTCCTTGCTTGTAGAATAAAGTATCCCTAAGGCTACCTCAAACAATCACTTTTCATTGTGCATAAAATCCACCTTGTAAAGCACAACTCTTTAATATATGTGGTGTTATATGTTGACGAGGGCAGCTGTGCGGTGGGGGTGGGGTGGGAGGGGGGCTGTGATGGGTAATTTGATGTTTTGCTGAGGGCTAAGACTTGGAAAAAAAACTACACCTATAACAGAGAACCTGTCATCCCAGTACCCAAGAGCCAGCAGAATACAGAAGCACCCCTAAAGCAGAGAAAACTTTGACATCGCTTTGAAGCGCTTTCAAAACTGAGTAAATAACTTGCAAGAATTATTATCACTGTGAGATCAAAGCATAGATGCATATATTACATGGCAAACAGGGACCATCTTCTAAGCAAAAAAGGAAGAGAAGAAAAGGTTTTGTGCTTTAAGTTAGGCAAACTAAACAGCCTTTTAAACAAGCAGTTAGCTGGAAATGTGCCAATGTCTAGTTGTTTTTGTAGCAGTTTTCTCCCTCTGAGCGAGGGCATCTAAAATGATGCTCTGTTGCAAACTAGACTGAAGGGTATGACTCTGTGTTGGGCTAATGGTTCGGCAAGTGTGAAGACTTATTAAGTGCTTGTTTTGTGGAGAACTGTGGGGGAGGCCAACAAGTACTGGACAAAAACACGCAGGCATGCCAGTGCAGTTGCAGGAATGCTGCCTAAGGGAAGCTGGCAGGACCAATATACAAAGAACTCAACTACAAGGTAAAATGCTCTACAATGCAATAATAACTAATAATAACTGTATACCAAGTGAAAAAAGACATAAAAATTTAAAGGATTGAAATTAACACTATTTTATGTTATATCTTATATTTGTATATCATGCTTATTTGCAGAAATTAAACAATCTGTGCATATAATGGATGGATCATTTTTCCTTTTGCTTTTAAGATTTAAATTCCATACAAAGAGTTTTTATTTCCAGACAATTCAGATAGGAGGAGTTTCATCTGCAGTACAGCTTTACTGCGTAAATACTAACACTGACAAGTGTGTGTGACAAAAACTACACAGCTCTCTCTTTAGATTTACCTATTGTAAAGTCATAAAGATGACAGCCATAACACTTACTCTCATTAAGAGTGGGGCAGCGTAGCTATGAGTGTTCCTGTCCTCTTAGATCTTCCCCACCATGCCTTTATCCTGCCATTCCAATCTGCACAGCTCGGCCTCCTTGTATTTTCCCCGTTGTCGTGTTGCTAACCCCTCCTCGCAGCCAGAGGAGCACAAAAACCTTTCCCTTTTATCTTTCAAAATCAATTAACAGCAATTTAATTCCCCAGGACAGGATAAAAGGAAGGTAATATTTGAATTCATATTTGATTGTGATGATACATCTCACATATGGCCTTAAGTACCAGAAACAGTACTCACAGGGGTTCCCACAATAGAGGAGTAGCCTGAGGGCAAAGTAACCATGCAGGTCCTTCTGATTGGTTGCTGGTGTCATTAGTGCCAGCATTGTTTAAGGAGCACATGTGGACCAGACCGGAGGAGGTGACAGCTGGGACTTTAAAGCCAGAGGAGTTTTCAAACAGCTCTTCACAGCTGCTTTTCATGACAGAAATATTATTTCAGCTCTGTCATTAACAGTTGACAGCATGCCATCTAAACAGCCAGAGCCTAACAGGGCACTTCTCCTCTCTCTTTCTCTCAGAGTTTCTTACCTCCTTCTTCTGCCACCCCTAATTTGCCCCCTCCCATCCATCCAAACTCTCACCATCTCACCATCAGCAGCATCCGCCTCTGAAGTATTACTCAGACACATCCCTCCATCCCTTCCTCCCTCCCTTCTTCCCTGTATCTGACTTCCTCTCACTCCCCGTTTGAAGGCTGGAAGGAGAACGAAATCAGCGTCTCTTACCTCATCATTTTGGGCGAGCAGTTGGGTGAGTTTCGCATCCCTCCGTTGCGTTGCTTTTTTTTGGGCGAGAGAGTTGATGGATGCTCGTCTTCAACTGCAAACACATGCACAGAATATCAGAATAGAGACAGATGGTTGGGAATGTGTGCTGGACCTGATATGAAAAAAAAAATGCCAACAATCAATCAATCATTGCAAACAAAAAAACTGAACAGAAGAAAAAGAAAGGAAAATTAATAATTCAGCGTCAAATTGAGAAAATATAGAGAAAGCATTAGTAACAGACAATGGTAAATCTGAGAAAGACAGGAGAAAACCAAAAAAAACAAACAATTAACAATCTGAAAATGTTACGGAAGGCTCATATCCCAAACCCCCATATTTTGGCTCTTCTAAGGTGCACTGTTACAGGGCCTTCAGTAATACACTACTGCATCTGTTCGGTACACCTGCTAAATTGTGCAGATGGTTGGACCTCTAGCAGTCTGCATCAGAGTGACCATGCTTACCTACGATATTAATTGCCATGTGATGGTACAGATTGTCATTGTCAGTGGGGCACGGGCAAAAGCAATGACAATGAGATAAATAAAGGTTATGGAGATGGATCTTTAGTGGGTAGTTCATTTAGATTTTTAGTAAAACTATCTGAACCCCACCCCATCACTGCAGTTCTATCTAAAGCCCACAATGGCTCTTCTATAGTATACCTCCACACCAAGAGAGCATTAAGCACTCAACACACATCATGAAGGACATGGCACACTAACAGTGTATGAATTAGTGTGAACTATGAATATTGAAAGCCTCTAGTAAATACACATCATCCTCCAGTGGAAGAAGGTCAGGGCTAGGTATAAAAGAAATTATCTATGTAAGATTAAACAGTCCTGTTTTTGTTATTAAAATTAGTTTCATTTGATTTAAACTCAGCTTCCTCTCATCTACGCTTTTCTGTGTTGAGAAATATCGGGGAGAAAAAAAGACTATTTTTTAAACTTTGCTTGATTCACAGTCAGACAGAGAGGTCAAGTAAGAGAAGCCAGAGTGAGGCCAGGCCCAGTCGTCTGAAGATTTCAGTCAAGCTAACAGTAGTCTGATCTTCACCACTGTTTGTGAGTTTGAAGAGCTTTCACACAGGCACCCAGATACTCTTATCCACTCTGCACTCTCCCAGTGCAAATGCCAAGTGCACCATCACTTCAAACCCGTATTAGTCCTTTGGTTAGAAATCAATAACACAGCATGATATTAGTTCAAATCAATGTGCACGCTGCAAGCTGTGACTATTCCAAGCATGTGGAAATTCATTATTGTCTGAGCACTCATCCTAGGCTGTCACCTAATTCTGCTAATAAAAGATAAGAAATATGACTTTGCCTTCTAATAAAATGTCATTCTCTGACATTTCCTTTATGCAATTGGGCATTCGGAATAGCTAATATCACAAGCACTTTCCACTTTACAAATAATTCTCTCTCTAATGTACTTTGAAAATACCACATCAGAAAATATGCATTCCTTGCCATATTGTTTGACACACTCCTCTTGGTTTAAACTTAATTTGCTAACAGTAAAAGCATAACACTTTTCACTTAGACCCACGACAATAAAAATTAAATGCTTTCCAGCCACTGGGTAATAAAGACTTTCACTGTAAATTATTAAAATTTATATTCCAGCTCCCAAAGGTCAGTATCCTCAGAGCGCACAACTCCTGCAACATTTCTGACAATAAATACTGATAAGCAACTATTTTGTGTCAATTCTATATTAATGTTTAAGCACTCCTCAGTTTGGAAGTTCCCCCCAATGTTGACAGTAGCAGCCGCTGCACTAGCAGGCAAATCTGTGCAAAGCAGCAGGAGCAACAACAGCAGCAGCTGAGGCAAAGTGAACCGTCATGCAGCAAACAAGACAAAATGAAGGAACGGGACAGGCAGGGTTACTGGCTGATGCATCCCGCTAAGGGGGCAACCTACAGTGCCTACTGTGACTGAGCAGCATGGCATTACTGGGGTGGTAGCGGTATTTCACCGGCAGACTGCGGGCCCGGTTCAGCCGACTCTCAGCCAGGGATCTGCCCATCACGTCTCCTGGACCTGAAATACTGAGGCGCAGTTTCGAGGGGTCAGGCCCAGGCCCCAGCCCCTTGGGGAGCAGACTTCCTTTACGGTTATTAACGAGGGGAATGTTGATTGTGCCCGGGTTGACCACGGGGTCCTGGTTGGGGTGCAGGTTGTTGGGAGGGAATGCATTTGAGGTGATGGAGGTGGAGGAGTTGCTGGTGGTTTTAACCGAAGGGTTTTGAAAAGAAGGTCTAACTTCATCCATTACTGTCAAACAATGGAGAATAAAAAGTGTGAGACAGCCTGTGTTAATGCTCATAAATTAGTTAGTGATTAAGCTACAGTGTTAAACTGTAGAAAATTAACTAGTGTTATTTTTGTGTTTTTATTATGAAATTGTTTTATCAGAGAAAATTTATCATTTTACTGTAGGATGTTAACAAGCCAATAGGTAACTAAGAAAGAGATTACCTAACTTGAAATAAATGTGATAATGAATTAATTACTCAATCCATAGATCAAACAATTGTTTCTGTGAAAAAGATTGCAATTTCAAAGTAATTTCCGAAAGCCAAAAATCCATGCCATAAAAGCAGGAATCATTTATCTAAAACTGGTGTTGAAACTTTTATTCAACATCTTATCTTGGCACAACTGAACTCCAACTGAAATGTTCCCAGCGACATTTGCTTTGCATTTGTGACAAACATGAATTAATAAGAAGTCTCTCGGTTTTATTTCTCTGTTACGCTACACTTTCTGGTAGAACAAAACACGGCTTGGCTAAAGCCAGTCAAATTCAATTAGAAATTGTGTCATTTCAAGTATAATGTGTAGTACATAGTACTTTCATTTCAACAAATATGAAACTATAATTTATAATTTATAATATTACTATTTCAAAAACTTTTTATCATTAAACATTTAAAGGATTCATTTTGGATTATGTATAGAAATGTGTTTGCGGTCATTCTATTCTCAAACAGGACATTTACATGCTGGTTTTTACTTAGACTTCTTTAACTTTGACAGTAATCACAGTATAAACCTGCTGAACCTCTGAAATGAGAATAAATAGGCTACTCTCTGCATTTAGTAATGGACCTACACCTGATGTTCACCCAGCCATCCCACCACACACACACACACACACACACACACACACACACACACACACACACTATACAACTTAGGCTGCAGAGTCAACCCGTATGTTTGTATATATTGAAGGGGTTGTAAAGTTGAATGGGAGAGGTGGAGTCCTTTTCCTCTCTTTTGTAGAAGGGTGGTTGGTTGGTTGTTTGGAGGAGAGAGCATGCTTGGGTGGCCCCGGGCGATAAACAGACGTTTATCCCAGCCGTCAGCTGCCTCCTTGATTTACGGGGCGCCACCGATAGCTCCTGGATTCATCTGGCCCTTGTCAAACACGTGCAGCGTTAGAGAGCGCTCACCCACCCTGGCAGGTCCACTGTGCATCCTGAACAACCCAGACGGCAACTGTCCCTTCCTGAAATGCTAATCACATGATGGTACTGTCCAGCATGCAAGCCTTATCAGATCGCCGTGACCCAATGTAAACTGGATGATGAGGCAGAGGAATAGCAACTGAAAATGTTTATTTTTGTAGGCATATGTGAGCCAAGCTGGCTTTACCTCTACTGGGTTTGCTGCATGAGCAAGCTTTGTTCTTTATCTGTATTGCAACTGCATGAAAAAGCTTGTTTATGCCATGCACTGTTGTTTTGCTACTGTTAAATATGAGAATAAATCTGATAATATGGCTGCTGCAATTCCATGTTGTTCTTCTAAGAGAGCCACTATTTCAAAGAAGAAAGAAAAAAAATCTTCAATATCCATATGCTTAAGAAGAACAAATACATTAAATAAAAATATACATATAAAATGTTAGAGGTGACAAATAGCACTCCAAAACTAAAATTTAATCTTAACCAGTATAGTAAAAAGTAAAGCATTTAACAATTATTTACCAAAGATTTACCTAAATTGCAATCAGCTTTGAATCGAACGCCAGCCTCTTTTTGACTTCCACTGTTCCCTGGTGTTGTAGCGCCATCTGCTGCTACATGCAGCACAATACAAAAAGAATATTTAAAGGAACTACATGGTATTATCAAACACAAAAATTTTTTTTTCAATTGCTATTAATACCATGAACTTATTACTTTAATTTCCTGTCAACATATGTTGAAATCATTAAATGACAGGTAAGTTAGCTGAGTTGAACATTGAATTTTATACTGGTTAAACTGTGAGTTTACTTTGTCTCTGTATAAGACACAAGACAACATCAGTAAATTCTAAAGGAACAAGGGACAAGGAAGCAAATACTAAATCAAAGCATCAGTACTAATTATGTTACATGACATAGTGATGGGTCTACAGTCTAAACACAGAGCTGGCGCAGAATGGAGAAGGACAGAGAAACACACTTACGTGATCTGACATATCCATTATACTTATATTTGGCTGAGGAGAATGCAAAGACAAGTGGCAGGTCACACAGAGGGAGAAATGATGCAATGAAACAGGCACATTAGGAAATAGAGACATCAACATAAGAGCGGTGGATGGAAAGTAGATCAACTGTAACTATAATGAAGTACTATCAGAGAAAAGCATTAGGGCATAAATCAAAAACAAAAGGTAAAAATAATTAAAATAATGGAAAAACTTAATGGTTTTGGTGATTAAAGTATGGCAACATGGCACAAAAAAGACAAAAAAAGTGAATGATATGAACTGCCCATTCTAGGAGTGAGCCATGCTTTCAGGAAAGTGTACTGAACCTGTAATGAGAAATAATGACAGCCTAATCTCTAACGGCTGATTTTTATTAAACTTTTCAAAAGAGCTAAATTTGAGTGATCATTGGTAGATTAAACAATGTAATGTTTCTCATTTTCAACCTCATTCAATGCTTTAGATTTAAATGTGATGAACAGTGTGAGGTCTGTAGACAGAACAATTAAAGCCACCATGCGAAACAGTTAAAACAACTACATACTTGAGTGCATGTAGGCGTCCAAAACACAGACAGCAGACACTCGCTACTCAACACAGCGGTAATAATAGAGACTTGATCTTTACACGCAGTCTGCATCTCTTGAACAAATGGAAAATTTAAAACAAAAACGGACGTTTTCCACCATTGATTTATTACTACACTTTAAAATCTATTGGGTTGTACTTAAAAAAGGGTCAACCAAGGACTCCACCTATGCCAGTAATATTAATTATCTGTGAATTACAATTTATGACCTTGACTGAAGAGGTACTAAAGATGGGCACCGATAGAAGTACTGGTACAGTGGGCAGTTGAACTGAGCTCTGAGCTGCTGACACTCCCCACTTTTTCCCAGAGTCTCTTCCAGCAGTAAAGGTCACGGTGAAGGCCCAGGGCTGGCCTATGACACAGATCCTCAAACAGGGACCCACAGTGGCCCTGGCATCTGTCTCTAGCAATCTGCCCGCACTGCAGAGGCAGCAGACTAACTGGCTAGCATCTGGGGCGTAGAGCGGCAGAATAGGAGAGAGGGTAGGGGCGGGGGACCAAGCCTGCCTGGTGGACAGCAGCTGTCAGGGCAAGTTTGGTGACGGACCAGCAGGGCTGGGAAAATGAAAATGCAAACATAATTTCCATGTCAGCATAGATAAGGTCCCCAGCAATGAGATGCAGAAGCACACACACATGCACAGACACAGATATACAAGTGCATGTTGTTACATACACACACACACACACACACACACACACACACACACACACACACACACACACACACACACACACACACACAAGATGTACGCATGCACGTGCACAGCCCAGAAGGCTGTGCACTAGCCAAAAGCATCTCCCGAGCCCTGGGTCCCCAACCCTTGTCCACAGCCCAGCTTTATAAAAGCTTCAGCCTTTCCATTATATAAAAGCTGCCACGTCTCTAGCTATTCTCACTGAAGGAAGCTGGCCGATTGTGATGATGGTCAGGCCACAAAGAAAGACCATATGTAACCAAGACCAAAAATAAACTTCTGATCCAGCTGAACTACTCAGAATAACTTCTGAGGTAATATTTTAAAACTTAAATTGCTGAAGACATCAGTACACACTACCACACAAGGGGGAACTACAGTATACGGTCTACACTACCCAACATATGAAATATGTGCTTTGAACTATATTTCTAAATACTCAAAAGTGGTAGAAACTACTTGCCTCTGCTGTCCAATTTTTCTACCTCTTTTTCTGCAAAAGTGTCCTCTAATTTATGCTCATGTCTCTCATCTTATTTTAACTCCAATAAATCAACCAAATTACAGAGTTTCAATATGTACGAGCTCTAGTAACAGAAGACTGCATTAATATAGTTAGCTAATTTGTCCAGAGATTGCTCTGTGCGCACAGGGGTTTATCTATTTCAACAAAAATCACATTGCTCACTAAACCTCTTGAATGAGTGCATATTAAAATGGCTATTAATTAAATGTGGTATCATTAAAGTCCATAAAGCAACACATAGGTTTATGTTTGTCACCATTAATGAGGTGTCTATGTTATTCTTTGTATTTGTGTGGTCTGAATCTGATTTGCATCAGAACACAGCATGCATTAAATTAAAGTGTGCTATCCAAGAAATCAGTTATCCAGCTACCCGGCCTAGAAAAATCTGCTTCAGATCTACAAGAGCGTGATATCATCATGGATAAAGATGTCTTATCCTCTAAGTCTGGTGGAAAAAGGACGGGAAATGGGGAGAGGAAATCCAACAATCCCTGACTGAAAAAGCCCAATGCACTCTTTCACTAAACTCACTTTGTTCAGACAAAGTCAGAGTTAAAAAGGGAAAAGAAATCTAAGACAGGGGAGGCTTTCCTGAAATCCTACAGGGGGTTGAGGGAAAAGTGAGATCAGTAACCATGTAATGGCCAGTAATTGGTACCAAGGGATATCAGCGCAGTCCGAACTACAAGAGGCCAAGCCAAACTCATCATGGCATGTTTGACACTAATCTAGGCTGAGTCGGCAGACGGTGGGAGAATGTTGAGAAGGAAATCAGATCTGTATGTCTGAACCCACGGCTTTGATAGCTAGTCCTACTGCTGCCATGTCTAATTGACAGACAATTTAGTATTTCCCATCCACTCAAAAGGAAAATTGAAAGGTGTGGGATCTTCCAGGAGCTTTCGTCCTCCTACCTTTCCTTTATCAAGCCAACATCACTATTTTGTACCTCTCATTTTTTTTTCACTTCTCTCCTATTTGTTTACTGCCTTCATGCCATACAAAAATTCTCTCCCCCAATTTAATTTTTCTTCTCCTTCCTTCTTATTCTCCTCCATTCTCCCAGTGTACGTATGTGTCGAAGACTGTTAAAGACTGCAAGAGAGATACACTTCTTGAAACAATTGCAATCGCAATGAAATGCACAATTTGAGACTATCTCCCCAAAGAAAATGTGTTAATTGTTGGCAAAATTGTATGTGTTCTTCTTTAATAATAGCCTTAAATAGTGAAAGGGCATTTCAGTTGCTTGAGATATTATTACTTTCCTGAACAAGCGTCACCAACAAAAACACGTTTAATATCTGTGTTCTGCTCATCATTTATCAGGCTTAGCAAGACTGTTAGAAATCTTCAAAACACCATTTCAGATCTGATTTTCTCTTATCTTTGGCATTAAAGTGAAACTAGAAACTTTGCAGTTGCTCAGTAAGGTTAAGTAAGGTAAAAAAGATTACAAAAAAAGTGAAACAAAGTCAAAGCCATTTTAACCAAAAACAGTGTTAACTCAGGTTTGTAAGGGCCTTCAAAGTAAAGATATAAAACATAATTTAGCAAACATTATCAATAAATTGCAGCAAAAAACCTTGAGAATAAAATAATACGTTCCATTTGTGTATATATATACAGACATCTTACCTTAAACACTTCAAAACACATCAAATCCAATAGTGATAATATCACACAACTGCATGACTGATGCAGCATGCAGTAGCCACGTCTAACACCTACAGTACTGTACAGTACAGCAGCACCACAGAGCCACACCACCACTTACCCACCACACATATTACACTCGTAAAACTAATAATGTCAAACGAAAATGATAAATGACTAAAGAAAATACTGATGAAACTATAAGTAAAAGAAATTGAGGACATTAATTGTCCTCATGACAGATAGACAGATTGAAATGACATAGATAGATAGATCAAAAACAATACACTGCTGAATAAAAACTGTTATCAACATAAACGAACGAAAATAAATTCACGTAAGCCACAGCTACAGGGACTGTGGAGTCACAGTAAACAGATCACACCACTTAGACGACATTACAGACACTTACATGGACGGTACCTCTTCACGGTACAATACACGGAGGACACACCACAGACATGTAACAGCATGTGTTGGGCGGTATAACTTACAGGCACGTAAAGTGGTTGGGCAATCATGAACAGAGACAGAGGAAAGTGGGTAGGCCCTCTGAAGGGTGTCCATGTTACTATGTACACTGCCTGACATGCAAGAGCAGTCTTGCTCTGAACGGCCGCAATCAAAACAACATGCCAGTTTCATTCGTTTGTAGACGGACATCTTGGCTACAGTCATGTTTTGGGATGAGAGGAGAGGAAAAGCAGCAGGTTAATGGCAAAAGGAGAAATATTCATCCAGGGGAAGTTGGAAGGTAACTTCATCAGAAAGCAAGCCTTAGCCACCTGCTCCCACAGACTTGAGCCCCTGATTAAGTAAACACACTCAAAGCGCTGAGATATATTTAATAATCCAATTACTTTAACCTCAGCAAGTCGCCTAATTATTTAATTTTTTATTATTTCTTGCCTGAGAAACCAAACATAAAATTTGGACACATTACGATATAACAATATTAATAATAGTCATTAAGATTTAATAATCAAATGCAAGTGCATTATTTCTCGTGTCGAGAGGTCAAGCTGTGTGCTAAGGCTATAACAAGTCATAAGGCAAAACTATAACAGTGGGAAAGAGGGGTGAGGAGTAAGGAGAAAGGGCGGGAGGCATTCAGGGAAGAGAGGCATGAGCAATGTCTTCAGCAGCAAACCTCATACAAAGTTTCATACATTTGTACATCCTCTATCCATGTGGCTAAAGGAGTGTATCACGTACCTGTATCCCATCATGCAGCTGTAGCAGTTCAGTCAAAGGCATTGCACTATTCTACTGGCTAGCCTGGCCATTTCATGCTACTGTATATTCAAACCTGCAATTTCACTGCTCCACTCCCCATGGGAAGCTTCACTCTAATGTGTACGTGTGCCTAAATGGTGTCTCTACACAAAGGTTGTATATGTTTGCAATTTCTCTGTGATTCTGTGTCTATTTAAAGTGAGACTATGTAACTTTAGAAGGAGGAAATTACATTTTTAGTGGTCTGCTATGACTAGTACTAGCATGTTAGCAAATGTCAGATATTGCTGTGTAGCGGACATTACGCTAGCTTGATTATACCTTTCTCTACTTATGCTACTGTTACCACTTTCCTGTAATTGTTTGTATCAGGAACCGTTTTAGGTTGAGAAGCACAAAAATTATTTTAAATCTTTAGCTCATATTCTCCATATGCCTAAATATATAGTTGTTGTTTTTTATTGTATTCACAAAATAAAATTAGGGGGTAAAACATGACAATAAGTAAGGTAATTGCAGGTCACAATGACATGTGTTACTAATTACCCATGAATGAAGTAATATGTTTCAGCTTCACTGTATATATACACATATCAACATCAGTCCCGTAATGACTGTTATATCAAAGTATTTCATTGATGTTTCTTATAAGTTCTCGTTCTTGTAATGAATTGGCAATTTGGAGACTAGGCGCTCTTGTTCAGATAAGACTGTATGTGAAAGTAGGATTACACAACAAAAATCTCCTGACTACTAGTCAGCCTGCAGCCAAATTACTGTAAGCAGGCAGTTTCTGTCTATGCGGAGTGTGTGTGGCAGTGTGTGTGTGTGTACGCATGTGTGAAGCTCTAAACCCTGAGGGAAGTGGGGGGTGAAAGTCCCCAGAGTTGCACATCTAGATTGCTGTGACTCTGGGCAGAAACAGTCCCTGGTCCCCATTCCCTCATTGCCAAGGTGCAAACAGGCAGCAGACTAATACTGTCTGGCACCTTTACACAGACACTTTCAGCATCTTTGACTCTGAGTCACATAGGAAAATAAGATCTTGAATGAAGTAATATGTTTCAGCTTCCGGCCAAGGAAAGAATAGGACACGCAGATCATGACCCACAGAATGAAGGCATCAGGGACTGTTGTATCCTGCAGCATGCACATGTGCCTTGTGAACATGTAATAAGCATGCAGAACATGTAGTTTAGGTCTCAGCAACAAAGAGATGTACAGAGATAACTGTTCAAAGTATTGAAACAGTTTGGGGAGCATGGCGGACAAGTGCACCTATCACTTCATGCTGATATTTCTTTACTTCAGAGTTTTTGCCTGGGCATTTGGACCACAGTATGTATGTTGCCATGTAGAAAATTGACACATGGAAGAGGAGTAATGGAAAACACAAGACACACAAATACACTGACAATGTCTTTGACTTCTGACTTCACAAATACCCAGATTCTGGCCTACAATTATAAGGTGTCCATTTCAGGGCATTCCTAATTGAAGATTCAACATGGCGGCCGCCCTGATAAACTGTCTGCATGGGTTTGATCAGTCACCATTTCCTATAATCCACCAAGGATCTTCTACTGAAACAGAAGCTATCAGGGCACTATGTTGAATATGAAGGATGTCCCAAAGAAAGCACCATTCTGATATATCCCCCTAAAGCTTCCTTATTCAGCAAGAGTGCAAGGAAAATACTGATACTGATACTGTAGCTTTTGAACTTTTGAACAATAACAAACACTGTGAACAGTAGTTTAGACTTTTTTTCTGATTAAATAGATCATCCCAATGCACAGTAACACACAGCTTTGGTCCTTGCAATTCCGCTTAACAGGTTTCAGGGGACTTGAGTTTACTCTACAGACGTCACCATTTAAATGTCGTGTTCTTGGACATGACTCTGGCACGGCACCGCCATCTAGTGGCAATCTAATGCTATGACGCTGTGTATTGCTAGTGGACTTTTCATCCACTGCAGCGAGTAAAAAAAACCCAAAAGGGCCCAACAAATGACCAGATTTGAAATGCACAAGACTAGTGTGGTGACATTTCAATTCTGAGAGGAACTGATGGTCTCTGAAGCCTCAGTCTGATCAGGGCGAGGACCCAGAGTTTAGAAGGGGGCTGAGATCACAGAGGAGTGGGGCAAAGGAGAGACCAGATTGTTTTGATTGTGTTTTGGCAACCTAGCCTGTTAGGATTTAAAGAACTTCCCACAAGGACTGCTCTCTGAAAGTACAGCCACATACAAAACTTCCTTTGAAAGAAAGCAGGTCAATTTAAATCTCAGTGGTTCTTGTTGATTTTCTTCCCCTTGTGTTAGCTCTTCTAAATCTTGCCGTATGACATCTCAGATTGCAGTCCTTCTGTACTTTCTTGGAGCATGACACTATAAGGGGGTTAATCATGGGTAATGGCATAAGACTTGCGGCAGATTGTCTTCCAAATGCCAAATATAAGTTTGGCTTGATGATCAAATAATTAGGAAAAAACTGCAGAGCTCATCGGCCACAGCTGATTGAGTCACACTCTATTTAATTGTCATTTCCAACTAGTGAGAGCTTCAGCTGACTGTGCCGATGATGAGGAAGTCTAATGCTGGTGCAAGTTTGATTTCTGCTGTTTTGGTTTTGGTCTGGTCTGAGCACAGTGTAGAAATGAGAGGCGAGGAGAGGGATGCAGAAGCTACACTGGTACATGCAACATTGATACAGTATATTATTTGCTGAAGAGGAAGAAAAAACACTTGCACTGCACTCTGGGTAATAGTACACCCATTTTTTTTTTACTCACAATAAATCACTACCAGTGAGTAGTTAAAATAAAGTGGCGTTTTCCAATGGCAGCAAGGAAGGAAATACATGAAAAGTGTGTCACTGGTCATAAAGAAACATGGGGAAAACAACAGAAGAGAACAAAACATGATAGAACAGAACATACTGTAGGACAGACTTCCATTGCAGTAATGGAACTGTCATCTTTCTTAATGCAACTCTCTTGTTGGCAACAACTGTAATAAGATAAAACATAACGCCATGCCCATCACCAGAGTCTGAGATATGAAGATGTTGCGAAAGCAGAGAGAAGTAAACTGTTTATCTAAATGAAACTAGAGTGTGAAAGGTCTGTTGTTTCTATTGAGCTGGGAGAGCAAAAAACTGTCTGAACTGAAACTGAATAATTGAACTGACACAGACAAAAGAAGCAAATGGTGGGTATCTATTTTAAAACCAGGCTTTGTCTGCTTACTGTAATTGTCTGTGACCTTTTGTGGAAATATGGGATATTCACCTGAATTATTTATCCAGTGGCTAACATGTCCTGACAAGTGACTACTCTACATAGGTCAGGTTACATTCATGTGCTGCCCCTTCCTTAATGGTAATGTTATGTATGCATAAAAAAGGGCAAAAAAGATCTATTTGACATGGGGTATTGTGTATTGTGAAAAGTTTTAAATTTAACAATTAAAGCTAGGGTAGGCAATGTGGGAGAAACTAGCTAGAGAATTTCAACAAATATAACAAAAAATGCTTGTGAAATAAATTGCCTACCCTACCTTTAACCCCTTAGAAGGGTGACTGAACTCAATAATCTCAAATAATCATGAGCATTTACATGTTGAAAACAATATTATACAATAAGTCATATCCATTAACATTTTAAATATTATAAAGAAATGCTCTTAACCTCATGCAGAGAAACTGCAAATGGTATAAATCTCAGTATTCTGGCTTATGTAGGATTGGCACAAGGAGTTAGTGTATTATGCATTATTGTACATTATGTTTTTAAGTGTTTCAAACATTGATGGGATAGCATAACTCATTTTACTGTAGATGTTTTCTTTTTTGTCTGTTCAGCTGTCAACTAATACAATTCTATATAGTGTACCTTTCCCACAATTTTTACTCACGTATATTGCATTCACTAATATACATCCTCAGTTTGTGTTGATAAAGGAGTGATTTAATGGTTTAAACCAAAAAGAATACACACTCATAGATGGCAACATCTACATTTCGACAAGGAAAAAGAACAAATCAGATGCTGACTGATGATCATACCATAATGGATGTTATGGAAGTTCAAATGGGATCCATAACAAACACTTTCCTAAGGGTATAATGGTGTGACAACATGTATTACCTTTAACAACACAGTTGCACAGTACAGAAGAACAATGACATAATGAGAAGTATATCGTTAGGATTTTACTAGTTTGTGCACTAAGTATAATAAGACAGACAGACCCACAGGTAGGTTTTGGAGTGAGAGGAAGGGAAGGAGGGGTGTCAATGGGGCAGAATATAGGCACAGCTACTCACGTCGTTTGCAGCCACACTTCTTGATCCGCTTAGGGTCTGTGATGTCGTCATGACAAGCTTTGCAGTAGAAAAATGCTCTGAAAGTGACGGTAAAAAATGCTCAGCACTTTAAATAATAAAACTTCCCATTTACATAATTAGCGATCAATTATTCTTCAGGATGGATGGATTACCTCTTTACTTCTTTGGCATCACTGGCGATAAAGAATCCCAGTGTTCCCTCCTGCATCTTGACATGGTTGCCGGGGTTGATGAGGATGCTGGGTAATCAGAGAAATAGACACATCATGCTCATTAATAATCGTTACATTCTGGACAACACTCAGCTCATGCACACAACATGCTAATCAAGAGGAATGGTACACACACTTGTTAAAGCCGTTAATCGGACCCACACTGCGCTTATCTGGACTGTGCTTTCGATCATTCTCAACACATCATCCCGGCTTTTGAGAGCATTGTTGTGTCTTATGGGCTTTCATAAACACACCTGCGCCACTGATTTTGGGCAATTTGTTGATGTGATACTCAAATGGATGGACAGAATGCACAACAGTATGATCGCACATTGAATTTTAATTCTTTTCTTTACAGAATGGTACTTGTTTGCCCCGGGGTGAGAAGGGGGACAGAGTGGTACGAGTAAAGGGACAAGGGGCAGAAAGAATTAAAATTATGGCCATGGAGTGGTTTTAGTCTCAGCACTCAGATACAGTCATCTAGTCAAAACAAATGTTATGATGGCCACTGAGACATGGCTGTAGTACGGAGAATGTACAGTAAGTGTTGTTATTTTTGTTAGTATTTGACAGTGGGATGCAAGGGAATGAACAGCTCCTTTTCTTGTCGATACTAGGCTGATTCTTGTCAGTGACTCTACTATAGTCTATAGGATTGCTCTAGAAAAAATAAAATTGGTATAGTAAAGTCCAAAGGTGGATTAAGTCCCCTTAAAATCAGAAGCGACCCTGTTCTGCTGAATTATAGTGTGAAAATAATTATTATGCATGTCCAACTAGGTCAATATTTATATATAGCATATGCTTTAAAAGTTATGAATAATATATTCAATATATCTATATTTAAATACACAACTATAATAAAAAATTCTTACAGCACGCTGTAAACCAGCTGCACGAAAGATAAATATCACGGGATATATTAATCAAACCATTTTTGAGTGGGACTCAATTTAACACCCACTTAAGCGACTGGCTGTATCATTCCCCATTAATTAGACTGAGACAAAGAGTAGACACCACACACACATACTGTACGCTCACACACGCACACCCTGGTCATTAATGGTTACCTGTGGGCAACAATCATCAATGATGTGAGTGTGAACTAAGAAATCAAAACACTGAACCCACAAACCTTTAAGGGTCACACTCCTTCAAAATACGAGCCCAGATGAAAGATGATTAATATTTTCTTCTTCTTTTCTCATTTACTCTGTTTTAAACTTTACTTTAAACTGGTGTCAATTTGTGACGATAACACCTATCATATGGCTCACAAAACTATAGTCAGTGTTGGGGCAATGTCATTCTTACCAACTTGATTCAGATCTTTGTATGTTACTTTTAGGAATCGATTTTTATGTATGCCATTTGTGTAGACCCGGGGCAGAAGTGAAGTAGTACATCTACCCTACTATATCTTTCCTCTGGGCTCTGGAAAAGGCTACATTGGAGAAAATAAACAAAAATATTAAGGGAGCAATTGAATCCATATATCGGGCTGTGATCAAATTGCACTGGTCATGCAGATCAGATTGCACTTTCCACATTTTTCTTTGCAAGAAGTAAAATAGCAACTAACATTCACTCAGATTGAATGGCCCCCAGAGAAGTAAACAGGCATTATGCCTGGCATGCTCTTTAGTGAAAATAAATGAAACAAACAGATCAAATCAAGACAGTTCCACAAACATTGCTGCCCAAATCTGAGATTTTCCAGGTGTATCTATCTAAGACATTTTTCTTCGCTCGGTGAATAGGAGCTTAAAAAGCATCAAAACCTCATATTGTGAGCAACAAGGCAGGCATCAAACACCTTATGTGAGAGTGTCATAGCATGCAGCTACTAAACAGCATGAAGGAGACAATAATCAAACTGAAAGGCATAGCCACTGCAGTACAGATATAGGGACAAGTACGTAGATGCAGACGGTTGCAGTAACTTCTGTGCAGTTGGATTGTTTCTCAAACACCAAACTGACAGGAAGTGACCTCACTTAAGAACATCTACTCGAGAGACGCACAAGCATGACTGTACATAGTGGCTGAGACAGACAAAGATGCACACGCGCACACACATTCACACACAGCCTCTCCCTCTCAAGGTCATCACACGCAGACACACATACATGCACATATGGATCCACATATAGCACTGAGAACATGAGACAGTGATGGAATGCAAACGTGAAATGAGGGGCACTTGTGAACATTGTAGCCTATGGTTATTAACTTTCAGTTTGGATAAACTTAATGCTATCCAAATTCAACAGCTCCATGCCTTTCCTACTATGTGAAATGATGAAGAGAAAACAAAGATTGGTGAGGTGCTGCTGGTGTAATAAACCCATGAAGAAAAAGTCATGCTGTTATATCAGCCACTGCCTACAGCAATTGCAGATAATCAGTGAAATTATTTCAAGAATAAATACAAAATTTAGAACAACAAATTATCAGTGCTTATCGACACCACATCTGAGGTCTAAGATATGTGTATACAAATTCCTCCCTCTATTCTGAGTCAAAGAACCATTACGTAATGTTCTGTCAATGGTTTAAAAACACAATGAGTGGAATAATCAGTTTGGCAAAGCTCACGTACAGTAGGGTAACAACTGAGCCACAATGAAAAAGAACTGAAAGTGAGAGAAATAAACTAAGCAAAGGACTGGTAAAGGACAAAACTAAAAAGATCAAATAAGAGGTAGATATGGAGAGGGTGAGCGTTTGGCCTTGGTACACCGACAACAGAAAAGACAAAGAAACAGCACTTCTACAAACATGTCCAATTTATCTATCCTCTCTCTGCCTGCAAAGAAGTTAGTGCATTAAGCACAAGGGACACCATAAAAAAAGTTAGAAAAAGAGGCCTGTGAGATAGGGTTTGGAAAAATATCCTTGGGGAAACTCCCAAAGTCAGAAGCTTTAAAGTGGTGGAGATTGGGTGGAACTTTGGAAGTAAGATAAGGTAGAGGGCATACCGCTTTCGGCTTCTGCAAACAACAAGAAAAAATCTCAAATCAAACAGTTATCATGAACATAAAAGAAGAGGAGAATGGTTACTAATGTTTCTCTGCCCATTTAGTACTATGCACAGGCACATAATTCAGTTATTTCATGTTTGTCTGATGGTGAAGTCCCTGCACCTAAAAATTATTGTTTACTAAAAGATTCAGTTTGATTTTAATGGTGCTTATCTTTTGACAAGGGCATGATTAAATTAAATGGCACTGAAAATTGTGGCAGTACATTTCCTAGAAAAAAGCTATATGCCCTTGTGTGGTATCCTCAAAATCCTTAAAAGTAATAGTGTGCTCAAAAATGTATTTTCAATAACTAAACTATTTTGAAATAATTAAGACCACAGACAAAAATTTGTATACATTCTACAGTGTGATCAAATATATAACTAAGTTCACCTGTCAAAGTAATATTATTAAGTTTGACTTTAGCTTGTAATTTCAAAATGACCATCATTTGCTGTGCAACCTTGCCAGTACTCAAAAACTTTTGACACAGGTGAATGGGGAACGGTGGGTGGGATTTGGCAATAGAGATTACTGAAAAGTAGGATTTGATGTTGTTATTGTCGGTAACACTGCCACTGATGTAGAGTTAGTGGTTATCATACAGACTGAACAAAGACACCGTAGAATCAAGTTAAGGAAACACATGACATGAAATTCAAATTTGCAGCAAATTGGTTGTTTATCTGTGAATTGACAGCACAATATAATCAAAAAAGGGCAGTAAATGTGATGTTGTTCCAGTATATTTACATATACTCCTCCTGCATACCTGCGAGGATTGGTGAAACTATCAGACTTGTGGCTATTTAGTTACTTCCACCAACGATGAACAATCAGTATTTCAGTCTTGTTTATTTGCTTGCCAAATATATTTTGTGGAAAGTGACAGACTGTGCAGCCTTGGCAGAGGTATGTGCTCTTTGAGTGCTTTCTAGTTGTGTCACTGTATGTACAAGTCCCTGTCATTAAGTAAGGTATTGTACATTTAGTTTTTTAGAAGCAAATTGAACCTAGTAAGCATACACTTGAAAAGGTAACTCATATCAGCAGGCTATTATTCATATCATTCACCAACTTAATGTCATCAACTGTAATATCAACATCAACTGCGATTAAAGCTGCAAAGAGGATATGGGGGGGAATATAAGACATTTTATTAGAAGGTCCACTTGAAGCCAGTCACACAGCAGTTTACTTTTACCACATTTGTACCGGATGTTACTAGAAGAAAGATCCAATATACAAACCTGCTCTCTCTCTGCTCAGACTTGTATTCGATGGCAATGAGCAAAAGCTTCAGCTTCACATAACACAGCCTGTAAAACAAGCGCAGTCATTAGAGGAGAGCAGTATATAAGAAAATGACTGATGTGTTCAAACACATTTGAAATTCATATCTTTACATTCCCCACAGAGACTTGTTTCCCTTCATCTCAGAATTGTTAGCTACCTACCACTGACGGTGGGCTTGCTGAGTGGGGAAAGAGTGATACTTACTCACAGATAGTGGGGAAGGAGAGGCCCACAAAGGCACTGGACAAATACTCTGTGTACATCTCATTAGCCACTCCTTCTAGGTAATACTTCTGCCATGTGTCCTCCTCAATCTGACAAAAAACAAGCATGGAAATGTCACATGTGAGGATAAAAAAGAAAGAAAAAAACAAACACTATTTTCCTTCCAATAGCAGCCCAATGTGGTCTGCAGACATTCCGCGGCACAACATCAGCCTGGTCATTATAAGCTGATCCATCATCTTTATGACATGAGAACAGTTCTTTGATAGAGACAAGCACCTCTTCAATTTTGAGCCACAGAAACACTGAACAGATTCCGTATGAAATGTCACAGTAAAATATGATGTGCCAGAATGACTGAAAACACTCTATTGGAAGTCTTTCTCTGGACAGAGATGTCAGAATTTCTGGGGGAATGTAGTGTGTTTGATAGATCTAGTCCATCTGTCAGTAGAGTACTGTATCCACTTATAGTAACCTCACCTCCAATCCCCTTAATAAATCATCTAATTTACAAAAATGTAATGTGAGAATTCATTCATCCATATTACTTCAGACTGTTTAGAAGAAGTAACTGAGACAAGCCAAGTTAATTTTGTCCTCTGTGTTACCTCAATAAAGGATCTCATGGAGAAGAGGTTGGCTAGCATGGTCGACAGGCCCTGGGCCAGACAGCTCTGGGCTATGAAGCCTGCCTTCAGCTCAGCCAGGCAGATAGCATCGTCACCCTCCTTCCAGTTCCAGCTTGGAATGTTCAGCAGATGGGCCTTCATCGCAAGACAGACAGAAGAGGTCACAAGACACAGAAAACTGAGCAAATGATTCATATTAAGGAATACTTCAAAATTGTGGGAAATATACTTATTTGGTCTCTGGCGGAAAGTTAGCTTTAGATGAGAAGATTGATACCCATGTCTGCATGGTAAATTTTGAGCCACAGCCAAGAGCCAGTTAGCATGCCATTTGTAACTTTTCTGGCATTTCATTGTAGCACATTTTCTGTAAGACATTTGTATTGTAGATTTGACGGTTTCCACATTTTTCCCCCACATTTTTGTTAATACAATATTTTGTCCACACAAGCTTATTTATTATTATTATTATTATTGTTATTATTATTATTAGCTTATTTATTTATAACACGACTATTTTTCAATGTGCATTGTTTTTTTTCTTTTTGAGGATAGGCAACACTGGAGAAACTAGCAAGGGAATCCCCCAAAACATATTTTCATGCTAAAAGAGTGCTCGGGTGTGCACAGGTAGGCAGGTAGGTACGTTGGTTGCATTCGGACAGAATAAACTGTTATTACAGTCCTGCGACAGCCACGGACTCTGTATTTTTTGTGTCACAACATTTGATTTATTAATTGCTGTCGGATTATAATGAGAATTCCAACAAATATAACAAAAAGTGCTTCAGAAATAAATTGCAACCCCTGCAAGTCAGTGTCCTATTTGGGTCACCCCAGTCAAGAAAGTCTGGATGGGCCATTGGTAACAGCTAGCCTGGCTCTGTCTTGACATGTAAATAGTTTACCAGGCAATATAATACATGTGTCAAGACAAACTCTGAGTTTCACTCAGTTACCAGGCAACCAGCAGAGACATGAGGAAGTTACTGATCCCAGCTCAGAAATAGCAGGACATAATAATGTAAAATAATAATAATAATAATAATGTATAATTCTAAATGTTGTGTTTAGAATACCGGTAAGCATTATTTCCTAAAATGGCAAACTTTTACTTGAATAATTGAATTATTATAAAGCAATTTCAATCTGCTTAAAAGGCAGTTATTTTATAATAAATCATTACTTGAGCATTTCCTACTACTTTTGCATGTCAATATTTGCATTAATTGTCATCTTGTATGAAATACAGTTACACACAGTTACAGTGAGCCACACACATTGGCAGGTGTTTTAGTACCTCTATCTTAAGTGCAGATCTATTATTTCATCACTCTAAAAACTGAGATGATATCAATCCTTATGGAGTCAAGAAAGTGTGTGGACAATGGAGTGAAGGACCCTTGAAGGGGTCGTTCAGATGACATTTGTTGCTATGAATTACTCAATGATGAAAACCAACTCATGCAGCACACTACTCTTGTGACTTCCATCAATATACTGACTGCGCTACAAGGGAACAAAACCTTTTAGAGGAGCAATAAAGGAGGAAAAAGGAACTACAGGAACAAAGTGGAACTACAATTGCAGGAGGGCATTCCCAGAGGCATGTGGCAAGGTCTAAGAACTACAACATATTACAAGACCCCACCCTCCCGCCCTCGTGATGTTCTATCTTACAAGCTAGCGCCAGTGTTCACAATAATACTAAACCTGTCCCTGGCTCAGTCTGTCATACCCACGTGCTTCAAAGAGTCCACCACCAATCCTGTGCCCAAGAACACAAAACCAGTCTGAGTGAATGACTACCACCCAGTGGTACTCCTGACTACCACCCAGTGGTACTCCTCTCAGTAGTAATGAAGAACTTTGAACAGCTGGTCATGGGTTACATCTGCTTCTCAGTATCCCACTAGAGTTTGCTTACAGTCCCAACTGACTATCTCACCTATATAAGAAAGGGAGCTAAGTGAGATTGCTGTTTACCGACTACAGTTGGAGCACCACAGGGCTGCGTTTTGAGCCCCATGCTGTACTCCCTGTAGCCACATAAATGTGTAGCCATTCTTGACTCCACTACCATGATCAAGTTTGCTGACAACACAGCTTTGGTGGACACTTGAGGAAATTCTGTGTATCCCCTCATATGCACCAACCATTGAAAGCATCCTGACAAGGAAGATCAATGCCTGATACAATAACAACACCAGACAGGGCTGCAAGTCCCTGCAAAGACTGGTTAGTACGGCTGAACATACAGGTGCTGCAAGAATAAGGCTAGGAGAATCATTAAGGATCCCAACCACCCGGATAATGGCCATTTCTCCCTGTCATGGCCAGGAAGAAGGTACTGAATATATCAATCCAGCACTGAAAGGCTGAGAAAGAGCTTCTATTCTCAGACTTCTAGGATCATAAATGCCGAAGTCTGCCCCGTCATACACCTTCTGCCTTGTGACGGAGGATAGAGAGCAATCAAAATGAGTTGAAGCAATCTTTTATATCACAGGGCACCAAAACATCTTACCTTGTTGTGATATTGTAACATCTGTGTGATTATTCTGATCTTAGGATGGTAGTTCTTGATCGAAATAACCCTTGAAGATGGAAAACAGGCAGACACATTGAACAGTCAAAATGTAACATTGTAACAATGTAACCTTATCTAGTCAGTTTCAAGTGATTTAAAAGTTCATGGGATACAAACCTCATGATGTTAGAGGCATCTTCAGCATCTGGATCTGCACAATATTTGTTGGCTAGGATTAAGCAGGCATCTGCTGACTCGATCTATGTGTAAAGGACCAAAGAAACATATGTTAACATTATAGTACATGTCAATATTTATTAGCATGCACAGTGCTTCTAAAAAACTGTGTCTTTCTCTCTTCTGTCTGTCTCTTCTGTCTCTATCCATTTGTTTAAGGAAAAAAAATACTGAAATGGATCTCCCTATATGGTCATTGTGCACTGTTGTCCTCTGCTTTCTATACCTACAATTTTATGTTTTTGCACAACCCCAAAAAAATTGATTTACCAAAAGGAATTTTACACTTTTTATTTGATTTCATCACTCCAACAGTCCTGTGACCCACTTTACCTTCACTCTGGCCAGGTCGTGAGGGTTGAGAACAGATCCCTGGTAGAACTCTACTTGGGTAAAGTGGCGTTTGAACAAGGCTTCCAGCTCAAGATTAGGGGAAATACTAGCACAAAGAGAAATGAGGAGAAGGGTTAGTGCATGTATGAGTATATACAGTCTTACTATGCATTGTTACAAACAATGTCATCTGCTATCCTACACATGGGGAGGAAGAAAAAATTAACTTACTTATGGAGAAAAACAATTTCTACATTGACATCATCCCTGTCCTTGTGTAGGAAGTCTTTGAGGAAGTTGGAGACACTTTCGAGGGTAATATGACCACAGACCACAATATGCCTGGAAGGGGGGAAGAAATCATCTTGAGTGGGCAAGATAAATCACTTCAGACACTGGCATCTCTCCAAAAGATAATCAGTCAAACGAAAGCACTCTCGAAAGCATCTAACTCAAATATGGACTGAAAAAAATATATACATACAAGAAATGTTTTTTCAAAGCAAACAAGTAACTGAATTATATCTTTTTTTGCCATTAAAGTGAATATTTTCCCTCATATAATGGAAGTGGTTAAATTCTGCACGACAAGTGCAATCAAACACTCAACTCTGAGCCACTTTAGAAAATCTAAGATATAATCACACAGCCCACAGTGGTTGGATTGTCATCCGTTCTCAATATAAAAATGGTCCCTTCAGCCAAACCACCCCTTTGTGAGCTGAATGGATGTTGACAAAGACATGTACATCAATATGCTTGTGCTTTTATACAGAACATTACCAAAAACGTTCAAAGTGATTTGGAGGCCTGTAGTTGACACAAATTCTAAACAGGACCTCAGAGTATTTGACAGGTCCCCTGGCAAAACATGAGGTGCATTACAGCAGAAGGATCTGTCAGATGGTGCACAGGGCTGATTATGGCAGGAAGGAACTAAGAGGTCAGATTGGAATGATTTCTGAGTTGAGGTTGTGTCCCTGTTTGTCCTCTGACTGCACTGCAGGCCAGAGTGATCAAGTTCACAGGTCAGTTTCACAGTAGTACCAACTATGAGATGACAGTCATTTGGGCAGAATGAATGGTTACTGTGGTGCTTCTGTAAATATTATGTTTTAGTGTCCCAGAACTGAAGGTAATCATTACAATTCCAGCATTATGTATCAGTCACTGTCTTTAAACAGTTAAGGTTTGAAAATTTCTTACTCGTTTAATGGTATTGTAGCACTGTTATAAGTCCTTTAACGTAGTAGAAGTTATTAAAAACTCTTAGAAAGTAATGCTAATAACTCCATTAGTATCAGTATTCAACTATAATATGGCTATGATGGGCAATTTAATCACACTAATCTAGTGCATTTAAGAAACTTTATATGCTACTTTTGTACTGTGGTAAGTTGAGATACCCTTCCGGAGTTAAAGTTAAATGTCACCAAGTCTTATTGCCAAACCCATAAATGAGAAATCCAAACATGCTTAGTAGAATCCAGACTTATATTGACATGGATTAGTGTGGACACTCGGCAGACACCCTAATTACCCTATAGAGACCTGTAAGGCAATCTGTGTAATGACAATGGCTTTATCCACTACTTAGCAGGATGTGCCAGGAGACAAATGAACCACTTAAGTTTGGAGTGCCTGGGCACTGCTTTGCATTTAACACTAAAAGTATTAGGTTACTTAAATATAATAAAATATATAATAAAAAACACATATTTTTTCACTGTTCAAGTTTGTATCATCAAACCCGATCTGTCCGTTCAATTCATTATAATGCTTTTATACACAAGAAAGAAGCTCTGGCTAACACATTAACCTTGACGTCTAAAATTGTATAGAACATTACTGGAATCTGACTCAGTTTGGCAGGTTTAAAGGAAACAGAGATATTTATTGATGTTTGATGAGAACCATAGTCCAGATCACTGAGTGTTCCTCCTATATTGTACCAGATGGACCGGGTTGGGCTGAACTGAAGGGGACTTGGCAAAGTAATGTGACAGACATATTGAGAGAATGGCAGTTTGTGGATGTTGCAGGACATAATGGTCTTCACAGATGTCGCCTCTGTACTTTAAGAGAATCTAATGAGCAGCCATGATTGCATGGTTGGCCAGAGTTGAGCAAAGGGCTGTGTGGTCTTATAAGCTGATGAGCTGAGATGTCTGTGGGCAGCCGGCAGTATTTGGCTCAAGATTTCTCTCATGTCAATAGACGAAAAACATCACTCATGTTTTCCGAAGGGCATCTGGATACTGGGAATAGAGGCACTGTATGGATTTATATGCTGCATTATTTGGTTAGTGTGGATCCAGCATTAGGTTATGAATCTCGGACACATTGAAATGCATGTACAAAGGAAAATGCACATGTGCCCACACATTCACACCCTCACAAAAGCGCATGTGGTGCTGTCTTTCACATTAAGTAGGTGATTTATCAGCAAAGCAAAATATTCTTTCTCATGTTTGAAACTTAGTTTTTCCCCTGAATAAGCCACTAATTTGAGACAAACTAATTTGTCTGTATTTAAGACGTAAATATTGTTGAGATATTATTCTTCACTTAATAGACATCATTAAAGTTGGCATGCCTCTTTTCCTTCTTTACATGTGCCATCAAACTGAACGCTGAGATCACTGGGTTGTTAAATGGGATATAAGAATCTTTTCTTCATATTATATCATCTGTCATAGGTAATTTAACCATTTCTAAATTCAATTCATCTTTAACCTGACTGTACAGTATAGCTTAAACTAAAGACATAATTAAAAAAAATTGAACAAAACAAAAAATAGAATACTTTTTTTTGTTTTACAAAAAACATACACATTAACTCATAAACAAAAAAAATGTGTAACACAATTAAACATTAAATGCAAAGGGGTATTGCAGAACGTGCACAGAAAACATGCAGTCAGGGAACATCCCTGGATATCACTAGGGATGCACTGAATACAAAATGAACAAACAGAGCTCAAACATCAGCAACAGAGGTCACTCACTCGGTACTGCTCTAATCCTTAGGTCAGTGATGCAATTTACTGCAAATCATTGTTAAAATGTTGTAATTTATGCAACTTAGTCTCATTTTATTTTTGTATTATCTTTCAGGGATTTTTTAAGCAACAATATTAAGTGAAATAGCATCTCCTGTAATTAACATCAAGAATCACAGAGGCCATGTGTAGTGATTATATGCTTGACAGAATTAAGTGTTCAGGTATATATATAGTACACTTTGTCTTTACAGTTCAATACTATGTCTTCGGAAACTTTGCCAGATATGCATATTAAAATTATGTAAGTGTGTGTTAATGCCTGATTGTGTAGAAGTCTGGAGTCTGTGGGCCTTCACGCACACAAGTTGCTACCCTTTACAAATGAATTTCAAAGGTGTATGTCAGAGTTCAGGCAGGGTTGAACCCAGTTTCCGTGCCAACCCCTCTGTTGAAGTTGGGGCTAATGGAAACCATAGAGCCATAATGGAAACCACAGAGCCCCAAGTGTAGTGGGCGCCAACAGAATGCAACACTTGTCATTATTATATCAGCATACACAGGCTGAGTGCTGTCACTGCACTCATGGCTGTATGCTACGCTGCACAGAGTACTATAAGCAACACTAGCATCATAAAACAGAAATTCAGCATGGATCCAATGTGAGTCCCTGTCACTTCCAAATAACCTTCAAGGTCTGTTTCAAATGACAGCGCCCAGGCAAGATCAAATACGGGTTGTATTTAAAATAGTTCACAATGTATCATGACCTCATTGTTTGTGAGCTCTGTAATCAGTCAGATACTTGTAATCTCCTAATCTTATTTCCATGATAGACTTTTTTTGTGCTGACAGCTGCTAAATGACTGAACCCCGACGGCAATCCTAAACCCACATGACAAACCGGTTTTGTCTACGTGTCACGTCCTATACATGCAAACACCAAACACACACATATCTAAATGATTAAGCAAAGAGCCTAGTGCCACTCTAAGCCTGCTTGTTTGGTGGGTATGTTCTGATTGTTACCATGTGTTTGCACTGTATGTCTAACCAGAAAGAGAAATGGAAGGGGGTATGGAAGGAGAAAATAAAGTGTGTGGGAGAAACTATCCTCGGTTTTGACAAGGGCTTCTCTCAACACCCATCTGTGAATCTGGGCTAAGGTCACTGGCCAAACATAACATTTCATCAATCTTATCTCAATGACAGGCAAACATTATCGAACAAAGGCTTTTTTCTAATGGCTCGTTCTACTGCTGACTCCCTAGAATCTGCACCGCTGAACAGAGTGACTGAAACGGATGGGAGTAAGGCTGGAAAAGGGAAATAGAATGAGAAAGAGAAGTGGAAGAAGTAGTAGATGTTGAGTGTCAGAGAAGAAAATGAGAAGAAAAGAGAATAAAGGAAAATAAGAAGTCTACCCTCCCTGTTCTGGACACACCACAATTGGATTAAAATAAATCTGTGTGCTGAATATCAGTAAGGTTTGAGCCACGAGGGGAGGAGAACAGTACTGCACAATAAGAACTGTGGTAATCATGTACAAACAGTAAAATGACCACAGTGTCACACATACTTCACAGTGCACTGGAGCCTCTGCTGTGAGAGGCCAATTACACATATAATTACATAACAAAAGCCTCTGGAGACAAACTCCACCACCACACAAACACGAGAACCAGGCGAGCACCAAGAACCAAGCAGGCAAAGCAAGCCAAAAGCAATTGAGAGCCTCCAATGGGAGCGAGGCATCCAGCATTCAGGGTGTGGGAGCTGACTGAAGATCAGGGCCAGAGTTATGTCAAGCATTGATGATGCGATGGGCTAGCAGTGACAGACAACAGGAGGATGGCGTTTTCATGGAGTTCGCAATCAATGAAAAAGCCACAAGACTGCAGGTCATACAGAACATGCCAGATATGATGCAGTCAAAGAAAAGAAAATCCATAAAACGTGCAAAACAAACTCAAGCAAAATGTAACAAGAAAAGAAATTATATCCTGCAATGGTCATTGAGATTGATGATGCTTAAAAAGACCACCAATAATAATGCACTTGCAGAGGTTAAAATCTTTCTATTTTCTTGCGGAAAAAATCTTATAGAAGCGGATAGTAGGGGTTTCATGACTATTTTCTTTCATTTTGATGGATTATGTACTAATTCATCACTTTAGGCAAGACTGTATTAATAAGGGACTGGATCTGAATAGACTAAGAAATGGGACAACACACAGTGCACGGATATATTGTATAGAAGCACCACGGGTTAGTATACTGCAAGTCTTGAGGGTAGTAGTCATGAAAGCTCTATTTTCCAAATTAAATTAAAGCGCAACACAGGATGTTTAAAGGAGGACAAAGAAATGACACACAAATGACTTCAGGAAAGCTCTGAGTGAGGGACAGATAGAGGCAGATATAGAAAAAAGTAGTCATAGAAAGAAGAAGACAACTAGGACAGACTGAGAGAGACATAAGAATAAAAGAGAGAGTAAAGGGGCATGGACATGTGTGTCCTAATGGCCAAGGTCTCCAGTCACGCAGTGTGACTTGACGTTATAAAGTAACTTTACTGTTCTAAAGAAGTCAAGTTAACTAACCCCCAGTAACTATAAACTTCGGGGTGGGGGGGGGACTTGAGTCACACAACCACACCTTGTCTGGATTTCAACTTACTTTCTGCCTCGTGTCGAGTTATAACTCCCTCCGTATTTCTTCCGATTAAGGATGAGAGCAGCAATTTCTGGCACGTAGCGAGCAAACATGGCCTACATGCATGGAACAGAAAAAAGAAAAAGGCATGCAGAGAGGGTTCTACCGCACACAGAAAAACAGCAGAACCATCTGGAATACTTACTTTCTCCCATTAACCGCACTATAGGAACCACCATATTTCTTGCGGTTTCCTATTAACTCTATGATTTCAGGGACGTAGCTGGCAAACATGGCCTAAGGAGAAGATAGAAGACAGAAGAAGAGACTAAAAAAGAGACTACTACGCTGCAGACTGGGCGGTGGAGAAACTGGTGCATTAATCCAGATTTCAGGGGGAGAACTTGATAAACTTCACAAAAATGAGAGACCTCTTCATATACCAAAAAAGAAATCTTGTTTTTGCTGTTGGGAAGAAAAAAATAGCCCCAGTTTTTAAAGGTTAAGGTTTAGGAACAGGTTTGGTGAGTGGGCAAGAATTTTGCACAGCTGATTAATATTCAGTCTGTGATAGCACCCAAATCTTCTCTAAATATTTTTAAAGGCTGAAGAAGAATTAAAACCTATGTGCCATGTTTTGTCCAACAAACACAGATGATCTGGCAGGTTGATTTGAATAGGCCCACCTGATGGTCCACAGCTGCAAAACACATTAAGACTCATTTGTTGGGCTGGAAAATGAGCTGGATGCATTTTGCAAAGTTTCACAGCCGGTTGTCCTAGCACAGGTTTGTGTTTATTTTACCAACTAACAATGGGGTACTCACACTACTAATCTAGGCTTACATCTACAAAAAGACACAAAGAGGCACCCTTATCCTAATAAATACATACTTAAATCTTGCTTGGAAAGTGTGCCTATACATTTACCGGGAAGAATGTGAGATGACGTGAGTTTAATGTGATCCCTGGCTTTAAAATATCTCCAGACTTAAGTCATTATTTAGCCACTCCTGGTGATAGGAAGCAGACTGAGGTACTAGCCTGAAGATTTCCAGAGCTCTCAGCACTGAGAAAAACACGCAACCTATCACCATGGCCACAACATGGTACACATCCACACAGCTGCAGGTCATCAGTGCATACTGATAGCTGTCCAAAGACAGAATACAGTAACTATGATTTGGCCAGATCCTCCATTTTTTTGTAAAAGAAGATGGAGGAGGCGGGGGTCTTCAGTATGTGTGTGCGTGTGCGTGTGTGTGTGTGTATGAGTGTTCACAGGTGTGTGCACCCATTCACGCTTGTTTGTTAGATGCTGTACTAGTGGTAGCCCAACAGGACGCTAGATCAGAGGAAGGTGAGAAGGACGGATTGGGAGGCTGCTGTTGCTATGGTAACAGTCAGGCTGGCCTAAGCATCATCTCCCTGCCCCTGTGTTTGTTGGAATTGTGGGAAGAGACACGGGAGGAGGGGAGTCCTGAAACCGCAACTGCTTTTAAGAGAACAGTAACAACATTATCAGACAAAAGCTTATACTCTAATCAAACAAATATGGGATTGACACATAAGGGGAGGGGACCAAGGAATACATGGAACTGTAACTACAGTAGACAAGATACAGTAGGCTAAACAGAAGGATACAACTTCACTATCACAAAGAACTAACATTTACTGGTACAGGCAACTTAGTTCTAACATTTCAAAAACAACACTATGCTAAAATATCATAAAATACATACACAATACATAATAATCAAAGTCAAAATTAATTTTTCATTAATTTATGATTTCATCTCATTGTCAACAGTTTTATGCAGTCTATTGATGGGGACAGGCAGGATATAGGAGGGAACAAGGGGAGTAAGTGAGAAAGAAAAGCCTGATTTTACCAAACCACCAAGGATGAAGAAGACCATAAACAGGCGCCCCAAGGTGGTTTTTGCATAGACATCCCCGTAGCCCACTGTAGACATCGTCACCATCAATAGGTAGACACATTCCCAATAGGAAAGTGACTGGGAATTCTGGAAGTTTTCCCAAGGATCCCCTGAGTTTTCTACCTAAAATGGAGATGGGAGAGGGAGGGATGAACAATTAGACATAACTCCAACCACCAATTTGTAAACAGTAAAAACCATTTAATCAAGACTGATTAAATCCAGCAACAAGCGCTCATGCATTTGTCTTTGCTGAGTCATACATTATACTCTTTCTACAGTATATGAGCTGGGCTACCATGAGCTTAGGCTACCATCTAGTGGTAAAATAGAGTGATGCTGAAATGGGTTGTTGAGCAGAGCTACAAATAGACAATGTATTTTACTATATGTACTTTATGACACTCTACCCACAATGCTAATTAGTTTTGACAGTTTGACAGTAGATAATAACAGAAAACGAGGAGTCGAGAGGAGACAAGTGTGTCTCTTTCCTGTAGAATAAATCTTTGATTTAAATTCACAAAATGTTTGTTTCAGTTGAATTGATCTGGAAATACAGTTGATTTATTCACATATGAATTGGAGGTTGTTTACCTTCTGACAGTTCATCATAATTTACCCTCCTTTAATTTTTTAACGCATACTTGGGATACAACGATCAGTATCAGCTGATACTGACTTTATTAAGCAGGTCAGACTTTACCAGATCCATATTAAATACAGTTCCTTTATCAGTGTTATTATAACATTCTGTGTCTAAACTATGAGTCATTCAATCATTTCAAACTGTTATCACAGTTAAGTGTGGCACTACAAATATTTAGTGCCACTGCAATCTCTGGCCTCATGTTACTTTAAATAAATCACTCCCTATTTACTATACATATATACACTCACCAGGCACTTTATTAGGTACACCTGTTCAATTGCTTGTTAATACAAATAGCCAATCAGCCAATCACATGGCAGCGACTCAATGCATTTAGGCAAACCTAAAGTTCAAACCGGGCTGGTTTCAATATTTCAGAAACTGCTGTTTTATTGGGATTTTCACGCACAATCATCTCTAGGGTTTAAAAAATACAAAATATCCAGTGAGCGGCAGTTGTATGGACGAAAATGTCTTGTTGTTGTCAGAGGTCAGCGGAGAATGGGCAGACTGGTTTGAGATGACAGAAACGCAACAGTAACTCAAATAACCACTTGTTACAACAAAGGTGTGCAGAATACCATCTCTGAATGCACAACACATCAAACCTTGAAGCAGATTGGCAACAGCAGAAGAAGACCACACTGGGTGCCACTCCTGTCAGTGAAGAACAGGAAACTGAGGCTACAATTTGCACAGGCTCACCAAAATTGGACTACAGAAGATTGGAAAAACGTTGTCTTGTCTGATGAGTCTCGATTTCAGCTGCAACATTCAGATGGCAGTGTCAAATTTGGTGTAAACAACATGAAAGCATGGATCTGCCTTGTATCAACGGTTCAGGCTGCTGGTGGTGTAATGGTGTTGGGGATATCTTTTGGAACACTTTGGGCCCCTTAGTACCAATTGAGCATCATTTAAACGCGACAGCCTACCTGAGTATTGTTGCTGACCATGTCTATCCCTTTATGACCACAGTGTACCCATCTTCTGATGGCTAATTCCAGCAGGATAATGCACCATGTCAAAAAGCTCAAATCATCTCAAACTGGTTTCTTGAACATGACAATGAGTTCGCGCCCCACAATGGCCTCCACAGTCACCAGATCTCAATCCAATACAGCACCTTTGGGAATAGGTGGAATGGGAGATTCACATTGTGGATGTGCAGCCAACAAATCTGCAGCAATTGCGTGATGCTATCATGTCAACATGGACCAAAGTCTCTGAGGAATTTCCAACACCTTGTTGAAAGTATGCCACAAAGAATTAAGACAGTTCTGAAGTCAAAAGTGGTCCAAAACGGTACTAGCAATATGTACCTAATAAAGTGGCTGGTGAGTGTAGTGCACTATATTCACTCTCTGCCTTTTTATTTGAGTGTGTCAATGCATCCACTATACTGTAGTGCTCATGTCCACACTGAAACAAAAAAGTATTGTCATTTACTGCTCACTACTGAGTAAACTATTAAGTGTCTATAATATATATGAGTGAAGGAGAGAGTAATTTCAGGCCCAGCCAATGAATGAGTTCCATGCAGTGAGGTGTACAGATTTTAAAAGTGGGAAAAAAAGAGCACTGGTATCAGATCAGTACTAGGTATTGGCAGATGGCATGAGTTAAGTTATTGAAATCTGTATTGAGAGAGAAAAAGAATCAATGCATCCCTCCCTGAGAGAGTGTGAAACATGTCATTACACTGTCCTTTCTTGCAATTCAGTCTTAGGTTAGCTAAACCTTATATGATAATAAATTAGTTTTTAAATCAGATTTTGAAAAGCGCTATGTGTCAAAGTTATATTGGACCAGTTAGTTAGCCAGTTACCTCCCACACTGGCTCATTAAACACCAGATCGCGCTAGCCCTCGCATCTGTCCACTTACCAAATGTATGAACCCAGCAGCTGTGAGCCATGTGCTTATGAAGATGGAACACAGGTTCACCAGCTTAATGGAATTGCTGCGCAGAAAAAGAAGAACCATAAAACTCTCAAAGACATTGACAGAAAAACTGAAATTTGCCTAGAGCCTGACATGACTCACAATAATCTTGATGGCCAGGATTTGGGACTTCGATAATGGACATATATATCAACAATAATTTGGGTGATGGAAAGGAACATAAAAGCCCAATGACATACAGAATGGGACTGAAAGTTTAAATTTAACTTCCAAGGAGATCCCTGATAATGCTAAAGGAGGGGCACTGGCTAAACCTTTGCTCTTAATTCAGTTTTAATTTATATAGCGCCAACTCAAAACAAAAGTCATCTCATTGCACTTTTCATATAGAGCAGGTCTAGACCATACTCTTGAAATATTATTTACAGAGACTAAACTATCATGCTCTTGTGTGGAAACTGTTAATGCCCCTGTACAGTTAGGGTATACTAGTGTATATATAGTGTTATTTTTACACACTATGTGACAAAAAAAGTTATATTGCATCATAAAACACATCTGTATTAACTTAAACATAAAATTATGATACTTCATAAAATGTGCTTAAGACATTTTAAAAATAAATGTAAGTAATTACTGCCACATACTACTACACATACTATATTCTAACAATTCCATTTTATAGACAGAACTTAAAATTAAATGTTCCTGCAATTTCTAGACACTACTGGGGTGGTAGTAACAGTGAAGCTGCTATTGTAGTTGGATGTTTCTTATGAATGAACGAGGACAGCTGTATTCTTACCTTGTTTTCAAGATATTCAAGAACTGTAAGATTTCCGAGAACTGTATCAATCTTAGTGCTCTGAGGAATCTTAAACCTGTTAGAAAAGAAAAGACAGAGACACAGAACAAAACAGGTTATCAACAATCTCACATTACATTCATAGAAATGCATGTATCCACAAGTAAGTTGTTTTCTAAAATATATTTACAGTGGCAGTAGAGAAATATAAGAATGGCAGCTGTGAAGAAAGACATCTTAATGTAAACAACATGTATGAGCACTTCAGTCACATAGTATGGTCCAAATGTTTTTTTCTTCTACAGCACCTAAGCAGAGCACAGCACCATATGATGCTGAATTTTGAGACACAAGATGATACAAAAAAACTAGACACTTTATTCTAGATGATGTGTTGGAATTATTTACGCATTCAAACAAGTCAGGAGAAACATAATGTGGCCTACTTTACACGAGACTCAGTCTGAATCCAATAGCTTAGGGATTATAGAAGAATGCGACACCTGTCTCTTTGTCTTTTTACAAAAAATGACTGATCCCATGGAACATGTATATGTCACTTTGTGACAAAAAGTGAATTCCTACTGAGATGATCTCTACAAACAGTTTACTGTCTGCAAACATATAAGACAGTGGCCATATGTTTATCAGCAAACATGTTTCAAATACCAACCAACTCTAATTTCAAGATCTGGATTATTAAACTGCTACTAAACAATTTATTAAACAAAACCTCCCAATAATGCATATAACTAACCCCCTTACCCCAGTTAGAGAGAATCCGTAAACAGGTCCACAATGAATGATACAGTCCTGTCTGTCTTTCCTTTTCCTCCTGCCCATGATGGCCCTGCCTCACCCTATACCCATTCTGAAAAAGATCGCCACAGGACTTCTTTCGCCTCCACGTCTCTTGAAGGGTATCCAAATTAGCATCGCTGTGTGTACGCCGGTACACGAGCAGTTTAGGAGGAATCATTGTTTTTGACTAATTCCTATTTCTTCTTGCCAAGATGGGAATTAAAATCAGTGAGAGAAAATATTTAGGGCCTAGTATTTCAAAAGCACCTCCGGAAAATAACAAGAGATAATTCCAGGTGAAATAAAAAAAAAGAAAGCAAGACTCCTCAGTACTGTAAAAAAAACAAAAAACAAATGCTCCACGATACTGCAACACTGTTAGAAGTTCCTTGTAAAGGAAACTACTACAACAAAAATACTGTTAAATCGATGGTCGCTGCTGCAGACACATGAGCTAAAACAGACAGCTAGATCTGTGTTGTTTGTCTTATCATGTCAGTCTTTCCAAGGATTGTGTCTCTCTAAGCAAAATGTCAGCTCTAATATAGGTGGGGGGTTCATTTCTGTTACAGTGCTTTTAATCCTCACAACACATTCAGATTTAACTTTCTCATGCCCCTTTTAGTGCTTTATCTTTAACCCTTGTTAAGCTTTGCCTCTATAAACACGCAGCTGTGTTGAACCTATTTGCTAAAAAAAAAGTCTGAACTCTGCCAGGGATTAGTAGAGATGAAGATAAAATGAAAATAAAGCAGAACAATAACAATAATCCTGACTGAGTGTCCTGTGTCCACAGGGGAAAGTCTACACAACTCTACAACAATGAGCTGCTGGTAACAGGGGATGGGGTCAGTTCAACTGCAGTAACATCAGATTGTGTCTGACATTGAAAGACTTGTGTCAGATTAGGGATCCAGTACTCAATGAAAACATAAAAATGGAAATGTCATTTAGTTGATGTTATCATATTTGTATCATGTTTGTTTCTTGTATACACTTGTAATATCTGGTTCAAAGCACAATGTTATTGAGCAGCAGCTGAGATGTGTAAATAGCAAAGGCGTCAGTATGCTTCTAACAAAGTGTTTCTTGGATAGTCAAACGGCATCTGAACCCCCCTCCCTCACACCTTTCCGGCATTGCCATTTGAGAAAATGTTTGCCCTTTCACCTTCAAGTGTGGCCTTTTGGAACAATAAACACTTTTTGTTGTTCAAACAATGAGTCATACAAACTACAGTAGTTCATTTAAAGCATGTCCCGTCCTTAAGGTCAAACCTGTTTGCCTACAGTAAAAAGACTCCACTGTCCTACTACATGTAGTGTAAGTCTAAGGAGTTGTTAAGTAATAATCAATTAATAAAAAAATACATTTACTAAAGGAGTGTACTTGAATGCAATTTTGAGGTACTTCTTTGACCACTGGCTACAACAGAGTGAAACAAATTGATTATGAGGTTTATGTCAGTGTGTAATTCAAACTGTTGTATACTTTGGTGAATAACCTAATGATTGTTGGATTGAAAAGTAACATTAGCATTCAGAGCACAAATATTAGACATTCTACCAAAACACCCGGTGATGCAGTGATGGAGGCCAATTGGGACTGCATTTCTCTCTTCTTGTGTGAATCATCTGTGTTTGTCTTGTACTGTATGTTTGTGTGTGTGTATGTGTGTGTGTGTGTGTGTGTGTGTGTTTGTGGGACAAATATCTGTTCACACCATCACATCTGAGGACTCACCTCCCAACTGGGAACAAACATCTGGTCCCACAACATTAAGCATTTATTTGCCTACAGCAAAATGAATGTACCATAAGTCAATACAATGTCCTCACAAGTATAGCAATATAAATCTGTGTGCGTTTGTGCGAACACGTGAAAAACTCTCAATGAAATTCTGCTCCCTTGAACACGTGCTCATGTATGAGAAAATCTCTTTCCCACACATGCCAAAGCCTCTTGCACACACAGCTATCGCATAAAAGTGTCAGCCGGCCAGATGCTCATTCAAAAAGGATTTTTCTGGTCTGTGCCCACTCTTACTTCAAGCCAGAGCACGGCCTCTCTATCACATGTTCTGGCAGGGGAGCCTACTGGGACCTTTTATCAATCAGCAGTCTGGGATGGTTGAAGGATAATACTGACAGTCAACCTAGCCAGGATTAGATGATAAGACGCTACACTGCGCTAAACACAAACACACAAACTCTGCTAGTGTACAGAGCGCTGGTTCTTACCAGACATTAATGCTGGATATATAGATAGACATAGACCATACATATTAAACACCAACAACACATTTTTGCTAGACTGTTACTTAGATCATTGCCTGTACAATAATGTAAACATGCAACACAATGACACGTGTGGAGCCTAGCTACTGCAAAGAGGCTTAAACGTCCCACAAATTAGTTTCCCTACCCTGAATGTACATGGAGGCTTGCTGCCAGGGATTGAATGGCCATATAAGGCAGACGCACTCATGCCCATGTCAGGTACTGTAAGCCTCTTTCAGCAGGAAAACACAAGGGATTAAGCAACAGTATAATAAAGCACCACTAGAAGGCAGTAGCAGGTTAGAATCAAAGCCATGCCTGAAGGCAACTCTGGTACTGTACATTCCCAAAGTCTGAGCATCTTAACATCAACATTTAGGTTGCTACCATAAAATCAGAAAGCAATACACTTTAGATTGTACAATTATGATGCCACCTATTGCCAAAATCTTTCTATTCTGAAAATAATCCAAACCAACATTGCAGAATTAAAGATTAAGGAAGAAAGCGTGAAGTTAAGATTGAAGTTGAGTGGGGGCTTGGTAGCCACAAGAGCTACTAGAATCTTTCAAACAGTCATATGCTAATCCTATACTGCTAGGACTCTCTTGGGAGCAATATTCAGTTCAAGTAGTTAAAGGAGATTAATTGGTTTTTCCCAGGAAGAACTCTGCATGCCCTCTCACATTAGCCACACATCGTTCCCCTCCTCTTAATCAATGTCAAATTTGCAGAGGCAGAGAGAACATAACTGGAAAATGCATACAGCATATATGCTTCCTTGGGTGCAGGGTGGGCAAACACACTGCCACACAGCACAGGGCAGTACCCCTATTAGTGGTCTTTTTTATAATCTGAGTACACCTCCACTGGATCTCCAACAGTTTTCTCATGCAGGACCAAAGCTGAAAGAGTGAAATGAGCATTACTGTAATCATGATGTATTACACTGGCTGTTGTGTGTATTCCCCAGAAGTGAATGGAAAGAAAGGATGAACTAATCCACTGGGAATGGGGAGTACAATGCACATCTTTAACAACCACACTGGCTTCCTCTAACAAAGCCCGTTAAATGGCAGTATATATACTTAACTAAATTAAAGTAGTACCAATTATTGATTAGTCTGTTGATTATTAGAAGAACCATTTTAGACATGTCATATTTCCTAGTGCATGAAGACATTTATAGTCTTAAGGGAAGGAATGTCTTTTATGCATTAGTTACCATCTGAAAGTAGATCAGGAATAAGGCTCTTACTGCACCATATCTCAAACTGATTCATTGTGCTTATTTTCCTGTGACAACATGGCATTGTATGTCCTAATTTCCATATTTATACAGGATACAAGCAGCTAATCATGATTCCTGTCCTCACTCCTCAGAGCCTGAATATTAACAGACACTTTCAGTGCCCCATTAGTATTCTGCAAGCTTCCACCAGCCTGTTAGGGTACACCATATCCTAATGCAGATCTACACACTGTTAATTTTATAAATGAGGCTTTGCAACACTTTATGTAGCCTTTAACACACCACCAGTAAACATACACTTAAGCAATGCCAGTGGGAGTTCTGTTACTATAATGTGCTGTGGTCATATGTATGTCCAACACCGCAAAAATAAACATGATCTAATGTTTGAAGGAGATGCCACCTGATACGCCATCCTTGCAAAAACAGTCCTCTAGATTCTTACATAAAAAAAAACAGTAATAAAATTAAATGCATATTAATAACTCTGGAATCTAGGGCACCTCTCAAAAACAATAAATTCACACTCTTAGCTGCTGTTTATGCACAACAACTCACACTGCAGCTGGATTGTATATAAAAAGTACTTTTGCATTCTACATCAACCCCAGACACATGCTTTTTAATGATCACAGGTAATTATTCCATGCAGAATGTCAGGCTGCAGCCAGACCACCATTTCACAGTCTTTCATCATCCTCATCAAGGCCTTAACACCAACGGTTTCTGGGGATGAGATGATTACACCTAATGTCATGAATACCAGAAACCAGATTACTTGACTTGGCCATATCAAATTCATTACACAGCTTAAGAAACACCTTAGAGATAAGACTATCACAGCTTATATTACTTTATTTTGTGATCCCAGTGGGCATTTCTAAACAAGAACATACACTGAGGGATAAAAGGCAGACTGCTCCACATACTTGGATCTCTGACAGTATAGACAGTGTGTGACTAGTTTAGATCATGTGTGAAACAAAAAATTATGGTTGGGTATTATTTTCATAGCTTTGGCTATTATTTCTATCCGTTCTTATATGACATTGTTATACAACCTTGGAACTCTGCAACGTCGCTAAAACAACATGCAAGTCTAATAGAAATGAGTCATGAGAAAGAAATGAGCGGTCCAACAATCAGACAGTTAAACAAGCCAACAAATTCAGACATTAAAACAACAGCTGCAACTAATGATTGTTCTCAATATTAATGATCTGCTGATTATTCTCTCAATTAATTGATTTAATGTTTGGTCCATGTAATAATCAGTCACCCAGTGCCCAAGGTGATGTCTTCAAATGTCTTATTTTTGACCAACCCAACCGCCTAATCCACAAATATTCAACCTACAATTATGCAATTAACATAGAAAAGCAGCAAATAAAATTTAATTGATAAGCTAATGTTGATCGATTAATTGATTTTTCCTTGCAGCTCTAATCTATAGTCAAGCATATATCTAATCTCCAATTTCAAAGTAAAACTAAACTAAGCATGGCCAAAAAGTTGGTAATGATCCCTGATTACACACAAAAACTGTGCGCATACAACTACGGTAACCATGGTAGGTCAAAGTTGAATGAGGAAGTATGTTAACAGTACATACAGTAGAGTTATTGTTAGTTATTGTATTATAGTCTTTTTTCACAGCAGACATTTTGACTTGCCATAGTAGGAAAAGCTGGTTCAGCTGGAAAAGGTGTTACTAATAACATTAACAATACTTCTGTTGTGTTCAAGTGACATCAAATCAGCTTGTAAAATATCAGGACCCTGAGACAGAAACCGCTAAATGGAAGCCATAATTATTTTCCAATATTTACACCTGTGATTTGACTGCTGTGTCATCAAAAATGTCTTGTATGAAAAAGGCCTATTACCGATAGGAGTGACTGGCCAAAAGCATTTAAATATGGAAAATGTATTTTCGAACGACAGGTTAGTTTCAGTATTTAGCTTCATATGTGTTCCTCTGACTCCAACGTTATGCTTAGATAAACATTGGATAAACATTTGGCTGAATTTCTGAAACGAAGTAAGGCAATCATGTACTGTATATGGTTTAAGAGCAGTGTGGCAGTGTTCCCGAAAAGACAACACAGCCTCACAGAAGCCTCTTTTTACTGCAGTTCAATTTAAGCCACAATACTCTTAACGCACCAGTAAAAGTAGGTCATTATGTAATACAGGTTAGGGTGTTTTCCTGTCTGTTCATGCAAGAGTGCGTGTGTTTATGTGTATTGGGATAACACATGCTTTTGCATGTGCATTTTTTGTGTGAGAGTGAATGAGATGGCAGTTATGGGCCTCTGAGAGGTATTCCAGGTACAACGCCTCAACAAGGCAATTAACAATGAGTCTGAAGCTCACACACTCACAAAAAACTTCACAAACACAGAGCCCGATTCTGAGTCACTCTCACTCCCATTAGCCCATCTACTCTGCTGTGTCTGTGTTCCCTGAAACATCAGAGGAACCCAGCCCTGTCACTTTCAATGATGAGGGAAAGATGACTGCAGCCCAGAGCAAGGGGGCCTCGGAGACACACTACCAATAATGGGGCGACAGAAGGGGGACTGAGAGGCAGAGGGGTAGATAGAAAGTGATAAAAGGAGGGGTGACATGAAGATATAGGGCAAAAAAAGAAATGGAAAAAGAGGGATGGTGGGACAGAGGAGCTGAGGGAAAAATATTGGTGAAAGAAACTAAGAAAAGAGAAGGCTATACGGTGAGAATGAATTTATGAAACGGAGTGTGTCAATGCGAGATAGAAAGACACAGCTAAAAGAGATATGAAGACTTACCAAGCCAGCTTCTGTTCAAGTAGACAGAGACAAACACAGGAGGAACAGTGAAGAAGTCGACCACTGAGTTGACCTCCAGCCAGAACCACAGCTTATCATTGGCTGCTATAAACTGTCAAAGAAACAGGGATGAAATCCAAAATAACAATCGAATTTTATTGTTATACAAAACACCACCACACCACATCCCACCATTCAAACTGCATGCCGTGTCTTCCATTGGCATCGCTGACAGTGTAGTGAATGACAAAAGCTTCACCCCACTTGCTGAGTCATACGAATGGTTGGTGGGGTAAGCAGCTTATGAGTTTATTTATTCATTCATTTTGGATGTCAGGCTTGTGTTTGCACCCACCACTGGAATGCTGCTTTGGCACGACAGCCATGCTAGCAACATTATTACAACAGTGTCTGAATTTAAAGGCATATTGTGTGAGTATTCATAGGTAAATTAGGTCTGCATGTCTGTAAGTGTTGTTGCTAAAAATGGTGCCATAAACTTTTGTAATATTCTTCATCATATAAGGAAAATGTAAAAATACAGTATACTACTGGGATGTGGTGCATTAATGAGGCTGAAAACAAGAACAATGAAAGAACTTTCTGTAGGATGCAAAAACGATGCCTTCCTGCATGGCTGTGTGCATATCGTTTGTGCCAGTGTGTTTAACAGGATGTCTGTAAATGTATGACAGTATTATCCACGAACGAGTGAGTGTATGTTTGTGTGTGTGCAAGCATACACATGTGCGCGTGAGCATACGTGCACATGCGCCAACTTACCCGCAGGCCAAAGTAAAGAAGGAAGAAGACGTTGAAGGCCATATCGATCTGCAACGTGAAGTCTTTGTAGAAGTGCTGGCAGGATTCTATAGGACTAGAGAACAGAGAAAGAGACAGAAAAAAATTATTATAAGGTTAAACCCTCATGAACTCATACAGGAAGGATCTTCCACATCTTTCCTACCATACCGAGTCTATAACGAACTGCGGTGTCATTATTCTCCAAATCCACAATTCGATTTGACTTTCAGGTTTAAGGTCACGATTCGATTTAAACTTTCAGCATCTGCCAGAGCAGATAAAACATGAGCTTGCAGAGGACAGCGAGGTTCAGTTAAAGAACTGCGATACTTCTCCGACTCCAGCGGTGGCCATAGTGTGAAGCAGTTGCAGTAAGATACGCTGTGTCATCTTTGAAGTGGACACATGCAAGTAGGCAGGGGTAGAGAGAAAATTTTTTTTTTTACAGTTTCTGAGATTGGATTAAAACATTTCGCTATAAATAATACCAATTTAATACCAATTTAATACCAATTTTGTGATTTGCGACTGACACCCCGCAAGCTCTAGGGGATCACAGACCAACATAAAAGACCTTGCTGTAGAGTCAACCACATACAGCTGAAATAGTTTTGATGTGACAGTACATTCAGCAAGGAAATTATTCAGCGTCTGTCAAAAACAAATATTCCAATAGATCGTCCCTCATATGAAAGAAACTCCATACAGAGAAAGAGACCGCATACCTCTCCTCCATTTAACAGAGTGCAGTAGCTGGGGTGTCTTAAAAAGGCACATGATGAAAGATGAGTCGTGATCTGTCTGGTCTGTCATATAATCCATCTTCATGTTTACTGTGTGATGATTAACCATTAGCTGGTGGGTGCTTGCAACAAAAGCAATAACAGGCAGTGTGCCCACACCATTCTTTACTTGGTCATGGGCCTATAGCATTTGCTCCTGAGTAACAAGTAACTCCCACTGTGGGAAACTAATGAATACGCATTATGGTTTGGCTAGCTATAGGCGATTGGGAATGTATAGACTGGCAAGGGAACACAAACAAGGTGATTACAAGAGCACATAGTTACATAGTTAAGTCCCATACGTTTAAATTAAACATTCAAGTACGCATTTGTATGCATAGAGCCCATAGGGGCACAGTGTGAGATCCAGGATGGAGTTACTGCATAATCAGCACCTCTAGGAGTAGAAAGGAGTGAGGCTTCATCATCTTCCACTTAACATCAAACGATTTTTCATATGATGATGCTTTATAATGGAGGACTGAGAACAGTCATGCCAGAGAATATGTATTGCTCAAAGAGTACGATCCAACCTTTAATCAGTGTGTGGTCTGTCTGGAGCATATCCTAAGGACTGATGTGATGTTTAAGTTGATGGCTCAAATTCAAGATGATTATCCACCATCATGCATGTTAGTTTATGCAGCAATTGTTTAAAAAATGGTTTTATTTGGTTAAAATGCATTTTCTCATACAGTGCCATCAGACTTCAGACAGAGGTTGATTCGCTTCTGACCTCTTGAGGCAATTAACATTGATCTGACCAAATACTCTCTTATTCACTCACTGGCATCTCCACGTTAGTGCTGACTGATAAATTACATTTTCATTGTCACTGCGATATGAACATGCTCAATAAACACATCGCAAAAGACTGCCTGAAACTCAAATTATGAATAAAAATAATTTTATTTATGGATGGGTACCAAAACCTGGTAGAGAATAGGCAACAGGGTAAAAGACTGTAGTATTTATTATCACTCCCAAAGCTGATCTGAAACCTCAACCTTGGCAAACCCTTACAGACCTTTGTGCAAGAGAATGCACACACATGCACGCTAACACAAATACACTCACAAGCACATATGAGCACATACAGATGGTGCACACTGAAGACACCATTTCGAGTGGTCATTGTGGCATTTCCCCTTGGGCACAGCTCTGGCCTAATTCTGAATAACAGTCCGTCTACAGTCACATGACCCAAAGCAATAACAGAGAGAGCATGGCGGCACACAGCGGGGGATGAGCGGTACACATTGAATTTGTCTTGATTTTGCATTATAAGATAACACAATGGGTACACGCCGAGAGCTTTAATTTAGTAATTTTTATAATCATCATTTGATAGTAAAGCTTATCATTAACTAAAGTGGTAGGAAGACACAACCTATGGTTTCTCTCTTAAGCTCAGAAACACAATAGGAAATTAAGAGATCGTCGGGGCAGAGTGGGAGTGGTTCACACAGTCTATTGTTGTGGAGCTGCTGAATGTGTTTCAAACCGCATAAAAATGGCAATGTGGAACTGGAAAGTAAACAATAACAATCAACTAATTACTGTACAAATGACAAGTCACAATATTTGAAAATATCATCTGTCAAGATCTACTGTATAAGTTAATTATTTTAGGAATAAGGCTTGTTTCTCTTTTAAAGTCAGACAGAAACTTATTTCGGCCACTTTTATGCCTATACTAGACTATTGTGATATTTTATATATGAATGCCTCGGCTCAGTGTTTGAGATCAATAGACACACTTTACCATGGAGCACTGAGATTTATCTTAAACTGCCAAGCACTTATACACCATTGCATTTTCTATGCTGGGGTCGTAGACTCAGTATACTTTTATTTACAAAGACATTCTGGGTGTGCTACCTTCTTATTTATGCTTTTTTTATCATTAAAAATGTGATGGGTACTGTCTCTGTTCACAGGACTTAAAAGGACGAAAAAGGGCTTTAATGTACTCTGCCCCATCAGCTTGGAATGCCCCACAAAATAACTTTAAATTGAAAGAACTTGTCTCTCCAGGGACAGGGGTTGCTAATTAGTCATGCTAGAAACCTGTATGCATGGCATCTACTTTGCATACTTTATGAAGCAATTAAATAAAATAAATTGATGAAGGACTTCGAGTGATTCCATTACTTATTCGTAAATATGCTGTGTCAATTATTGTGAATTACGTTGTTTTCCATTTATGATACCTGACAACCATAAACAAAGATTAAAAAAGTGCAAAACAGACCCATGCAATTGTGAAATATGGTACAATGTTCTTCTTATAGCACTGTATGCTGTTGTTTATTTTATTATTTATTACTGATGTCTTTTTCTCTGTCCTGTCTGGTGTGTGTTTATACTCGTGTCTTGCTGCTGTCTCGGAGATACTAAATAGAACTTTGTTGCAGCGATTACAAAGACAGTAATCTTCCTTATGTTAATGGGCAACTTTAAAAGGTGATAATACTGCATGTCAACATTGAATGTCAGTGTGTCACATCCAGCTATCACACCAGCAACCAGAGTTTGCTTCCAATCTCTGACCACAAAGCTCACTCATCACCTCACTGGTATAGTACTGGTATGAATAGAAACTGACCATTACCGCTTCTCAAATGTGTTACATATTGCAGGGCCATTACATTGGGTTTCTTTACACTGTATCTGTGTTTCTGTTACAGTGTCCCGAAATCTGTGTCTCTTTCCTACACAGAGAGACAAGACAAGACATGTAAGACAAGACAAAATCCTGATTCCTGCTTTCAGTGTCACTTCACACTCCACAATCACAAAGGATTCCTGGCCACAAGCTGACAGTGTCCTGAAGAAAATAGATCTGCCCACCACAGTTCTTATTACTCCATAAGCCCTGGCATAGCCAGGGGTTACACTATTCTGCCTGACAGCAAGAGGAGAGGAGAGAGAGAAAGAGAGAGAGAGGGGGGAGGAAGAGAGAGAAAGAAAGACAGCAGTAAGACACAGGGAGATAAAAGAGACGGGGAGAGAAGAGAAATAGGGACAGTAAGAGGGAGAGGAAAAGGGGAAGACATGAAAGAGACAGTGAATAGGAAGGAGGACTAAGCTCCCAGAGGTAATAAAGAACAACAATGTCTCATATACAGAATATAGCACACAATGCTAGTTTTAGGACACATGGAGATTGCCTGGGGATTCCTGAGCTTCTGCGATAAACTCTAGTCTCCTCTAACCTCACTCTGATTATTAGCAAAGCTAGCACTAAATTACACACATGTACACACACTTACATGCAGACACACAAATGAGAACAGTGATCGCCTGAGGGAAGGTTGCGGAGCATGTAAGTCTATTTCAGGACATAAAATGTTTCCCCACGTTAACCTCCTCTGACCAGGAACTCTGCCTCTGGAAAACGCAACCAGAGAGGTAAAACTCATTTCTTCACAAGGGCAAAGGAGTGTGTTGATGATGATGTTAAAAATAGTACCATACACCTTCAGTCAGTTAGCAGGAGCCAGACCTCTGTTAGCCTGCACATGACCTTGGCTAGATGCAGGAGCAACAGCAAGGTGTGCCCTGAGAAAACAATAACAACAACACACTGCTGCTGGCTTGACTAATGCTCACAACGACACAACACACCAAATCGGAGTCATTCTTCATATCTCACAAATGCCTTACTGCTCTAGTAAGCTAATAAGCATCTTGGAATGTAGTTACAGATTCACAGTGTCATTTGTTAGTATTCAAGGGGCCCCATACAATAAACATACAACATAAACAAAAAAATGCATTTAGAATGTGATTTGAGCACGGTTATTGAATGTCTGTCTTACATACAGTATTTCTCCTGAGGGTAGTGCATGTACGTGTGAGGGACACAGCAGGGAGGGGTCTGTGAAGCTGAAAGAAGGTCAGGTTGGTACTTAAATGATTGATTTAGGTCAAGGCACCATTACTAAAATGAGAGATACTTTAGCACCTAGAAGGGCATTGAACAAATAAAACCTCCCCAGAGAGGCTAAAAATAGATAACTCATTTTTTTCATCTGAATGCAAATGACTTGCCTCCCACTTCAAGCATTTCCTCTACAAAGACGTTATTTAATTTAGAGTCTAAAGGAATAGTTTGTGAGTGAAAATAGCACTTAACAAAAACCACAACTTCACACAGTATGTTCCGCAATGCAATAAAACTGAAATGAGTAAATGTTAAAATAAGGACACGAATGTCGAAGAAAATGAGCTACATCTTTGTAAGAGAGAAATGATACACTCTTTTACAGTTTTAATAATAATT